AAAACGTTTTAAGTTTGTTTATTGTGTTTATTGGGGTGGCATTGGTTAATAACATTATGTAGGTCTTAGGTGTAGAGTTGTACAGTACAGCATCTGTGTATTGTACCGTGTGTTCCCCACCCCAGTCACGTCTCCTTCCATCACCGTGTGTCACCACCCGTGCCCTCGTCTGCTCCCTCTACCCCCTTTCCTTCTGGCCATCAGCCATATTCTCTGTATCTCTGAGGGTTGTTTGTTTGTTTTTTCACTTGATCTCTTCACCTTTTTTACCTAGCCCTCCAACCCCCCTCCCCTCTGACAGCCATCAGCCTATTCTCTGTATCAGTGAGTCTGTTTCTGTTTTGTTTGTTAGTTTATTCTATTCATTAGATTCCACATGTAGGTGAAATCATATTGTACTTGTCTTTCTCTGACTGGCTTAACTTAGCAGAATGTTCTCCAGGTGCATCCGTGCTGTTGCAAAGGGTAAGATTTCCTTCTTTTGTCTATGGCTGTGTAGTGTTTCACTGTGTAAATGTACTACAGCTTTTTTATCCACTTGTCTACTGATGGACATTGGAGCTGCTTCCGCATCTTCGGTATTGTAAATAGTGCAATGAACATAGGGGTGCATATATTCTTTCGAATTAGTGTTTCAGGTTTCTTAGGATATATTCCCGGAAGTGGAATTGCTGGGTCAAAAGGCAGTTACAGTTTTAATTTTTTGAGGTAACGCCATACTGTTTTCCACTGTGGCTGCCCCAGGCTGCATTCCCACCAACAGTGTACGAGGGTTCCCTTTTCCACATCCTCACCAGCACTTGTTGTTGGTTGATTTGTTTATGATGGCCATTCTGACAGGTGTGAGATGATATCTCATTGTGGTTTTAATTTGCGTCTCTGATGATCAGTGATGTTGAACATCTTTTCATATGTCTGTTGGCCACCTGCATGTCCTCTTTGGAGATGTGTCTGTTCATGTCCTTTGCCCATTTTTTAATTGGATTGATTGATTGATTGTGTGTGTGTGTGTGTGTGTGTGTGTGTGTGTTGAGTTGTATAAGTTCTTTAAAAATTTTGGATATTAATCCCTCATCACATGTATCATTGGCAAATATTTTCTCCCATTCAGTGGGTTGTCTTTCATTTTGTTGATGGCTTCCTTTGCTTTGCAAAAACTTTTCCATCTGATGTAGCCCCATTTGTTTATTTTCTCTTTCGTCTCCCTTGCCTGAGGAGATATATCAGAAAGAGTATTTCTCATGCATTGCTCAATAAATGTTTGAGATTTTACTGCCTGTGTTTTCTTCTAGGATTTTGTGCTTTTGAGTCTCACATTTAAATCTTTAATCCATCTTGAGTGTATTCCATATGATTCTTTATGTATGCTGTTAGGATAATGAAATAATTTGGAAATAACTTTGAACTCAGCAGCTGTTTCTTCTGCCTGTATGATGGTATAAAGACCCAGACAGATGACTTTTTTGGGTAATAAATGCACATCTGAAATGACATTTTCAGCTTCTACACAATTATTACAGGGGTTTATTTTTCTACTTTTAGTTGGAGAGTACAGCCAAAAGAGTTGTTCCCATGTGTGGAGAAGTATTGGGTTGGTCAGAAGGCTTGTTTTCCCATAGGGAGGCTTCAGCAGCCCTCAGTCGTCTGTCACTCCACGTGAAACAGCTTTGTTAGATTGTGTTGTGACAGCTGTCGTGTCAGTGTGTGTTTAAAAACTGATCAAAATTGGTGAGTTTTTGTGCAGCCATTTTAGTGTTGAAGATGTAAGGAAATATGCAGCATTTTTGCCATATTATGCTTTATTGTTTCAAGAAAGGTAAAAACACAGCTGAAATGCAAAAAACCATTTGTGCAGTGTGTGGAGAAGGTGCTGTGACTGATGGAATATGTCAGAAGTGGTTTGCAAAGTTTCGTGCTGCAGATTTCTTGCTGAATGATGCTCCACAGTCCAGTAAACCAGCTAGAGTTGATAGCAATCAAATTGAGACATTGAGAACAATCAGTGTTATACCACGTGGGAGATAGACAACATACTCAAAATATCCAAATCAATAAAATTACCATTACAAGGGAAAAATGTGTCTTATTATATAGAAAAAAAATGTGAACCTTTAGCCAACCCAGTATTTTGTCCACAGTTGGAAGAGAGTATTAAACATATTTTTCTGTGTCCTCAAATTAAATTCTTCCTAAAAGTTAACTAAATTTTTATTAAATCTACATTCTTAGACTCTTTTTTTCTGTTAAAGCATAAAATTAGTCTCCATGTGGACTAGACCAGGGATATTTACCTGAAATAAATTGTCCTGAGGTCGTGGCTGTTGGGTGCTGGCCATTAGGAGACATGGCTCACGGAGGCACAGACACTTCAGTCCCTCTTCAGAAGACCCTCCCCCACGTCCACGGGTGTTTCTTCGCCTCCTGCGCCCACATGCTGCTGCTGCTGCAGGCTCACGAGACACGTTGCGCTCCTGCGCCTGCCTGTCCGTTTGAAACAGCAGCGGTTTCCGGGTAGCCTTCATTTCCATTCTTTTGATTTATTTGAATCTTCACACCTGAATTTCTTGAAATATCTAGAGTGTTAACCTGAAAAGTTCTAAATTAGTCTTCTTGTTAGTCTTAGAAAGTTGCTTGTGTGCGCAGGCGTGGTGCAGTGAGGTTGGGACTCGGCCTCTGCCTCTCGAGTGTGCAGGTCCGCGCGGAAGAGGGCTGTTCTGAGCCAGGCCGCGCTGGCTCTCCCACACCTGGCTCCGTGTTTCCGTTCCTCTGGCCTTCCCTGTGGTCTGGTCCTGAGGGATTTGATTGGCCAGACGTTTGTACTCTAGTTCTCCAGTGATTACCATTCCGATCCATGAAATGTCTTGTTGTGGACAATACTGAATGAATTTGTGCTGGAAACCACTAATAAAATAAAAACAAAGTCCTTTCTTACCACTGACTGTTATCTTAAGGGGGGGTTTGAGAAAAAGAGTTATAACATTGAATTTGAAAGAATTTAGAAACTGTTGGAAATGTTAAATCTGTTTCCGGTCCTGTGTTGTGCTGAGCGTAATGGCGAACTTCTCTCTCAGTGCCCAGCAGATGCTAAAGCACCCAGGTTCCCTCGGAGTGCAGTGACTCTGAGGCCTGGAGGGTGAGCGGCAGCCTCACTTAGTGCCGCCTCCCTCTGTTATCACTCCTTTACTGAGCGTGCGCTGTTGGATGTAATCTCTGGCGTGGAGTCCAGGTGTTTCTTATCCTTAGTTTGTGCATGTGCAATGTGGAGATTTTAAATATTTGGACCAAGGCCCGCATAGGTAGTAACCTAGACAGGCAGGATTTGAACCTAAGTTGCCCCTCACAGCACAAAGCCTTTGCTGTTAATCATCCCAAAAGCTGTGCTAGTAGTGATCACCAACACAGATGGGAGTGAAATCAGTGACCTTGGCATTGTGGCATGCCCTTTCATCAGCCAGATCAATTCTTTGGTAGCGAGTGTAGAAGCAGTGGATACGAGGAAGTTCAAGTCTGTAAGTTCCACTGTTGTCGTGTGACTCGTGAGACTTCAGTAATAAGATAGCCTAAGGGAAGTATGTGCATTTAAAACTGATTTCTCAGTTTCCTCCTGGTTTATTGGCTGTGGTTAGCTTCCAGGGTGGTTCACTTCTGTGTCCTGTGAGTGTGCACACAGGTATGGGCAGGCACACCAGAGTCTCGAGAGCAGTCTGTCCGATTAAAAATCAGCTTTACCTGTCACGGGGATTCTTCCTGGATGTTAGTACTGGAAATTTGTATAATGGCACAGCATTTTTATTTTTGAAAGATAATTTGTTTTTTTGAAGTTTTATCTGTCAAACCAATTCAATATAATGGTATCATACATTTTAGAGTGTTTTTTCCCTCATGTTTTTGGAATGGATTTGACTTATATGAGGATATAAACTGCCAGGAAAAAAACTGGATATATCCTGGATATAGTTGTCAGGTTTATAAAATATGAAGTGGCCGTGGCTGGTGTGACTCAGTGGATTGAGTACTGGCCTGCGAACCAGAGGGTTGCTGGTTCAATTCCCAGTCAGGGCACATGCCTGGGTTGTGGGCCAGGTCCCCAGTTGGGGGCATGTGAGAGGTAACCACACATTGATGTTTCTCTTTCTGCCCTGCATTCCCTCTCTAAATATAAATAAATAAAATCTTTAAAAAGTAAAATACAAAGTGTATTTTATAAAGAATATTCAGACTGATAAATGTTTGAAAGAAACTTGATGACCGATTGATTCCTTCCAGTTTGCTGTTTTGGAATTGTGTGTGTTTAGGTTTTACCTTGTTAGCTTTGCAGTAATAGAACAGTATTATCATCTGAGAAGTTGGCTGAGGACAAAGAGTTGGCAGGGAGTGTTTGCAGGGAACAAAGTAATGAGGAATTGTGTTTGAAGGCGAAGATGAACTCATTTCTTTTCCTTTTCCACAGCATCCTTCTTCCCACCCCCTCCCCCGCCCGCCCTCGGCACTGCAGTGGACATCAGAGAACGTGGGCAGGCCGCCCACTCTGTTTGGCCGCCCGGCTCTCATGAGTGTCCCTGTGCTTTCTGTTGCGTGTCTTTCCAGGTGGGGTGTCCTTGCAGGAGGTGCGCCCTGAGGCCCAGGGCAGGGCTCTGCCTGCCGGCGCGCCCATTCAGCCTGTGTGCGGCAAGCGCATGTGCCTGCTCAGTTCTGTTTGCCGTGTCTTTTAGTTTTTGGCTCCTTTTTCCTTGATCTGTAAGTTTTCAGTGTTAAACTTCATTTGTGTTACAAAGAAGCCTCCAAACGACAGCCAGTGTGCATCGCTCTGCTGGTGGTAAGAGCAGCCGCAGGCCGTCCTCGCTTCCCTGCGTAGAAGAGAAGGCCTGGGGAGCTCCCACCAGCGCGGAGCGGCCGTGGCGCTGGGTGGGCACAGCCACGCGAAGGCTTTAGGAAGAGTTCGTGAGAGAAACTCACTTGCCACGTTCCTGAGTGTCCCCTCTGCTCCCTGCCCTTCACAGGCAACAGAGCACGCGGGGGCTTCCGGCGCGCGGGAATTCCGAGTCCGATGTGGAGGAGTTCTCGGACGGAGCGAACACAGAGAACCTCTACGGCACGTCTCCGCCCAGCACCCCTCGGCAGATGAAGCGCATGTCCGCCAAACAGCAGAGGAATGCTGTGGGGAGGCCCGCCAGCCGCTCCAGTTTGAAAGGTGAGCCTTGTACTTGAAGAGACCCCCCAGTGGGCACGCGGGGCGCTTCTGGTCCGCGGTCTTTGTGTACCGGTGACCACTGCCCGGGCCTCTCCGCCCGAGCGTTAGGCGTTCCTTTTATTTTACTTCCATTCTAATGTTGCTTTTACGTGTAAGTTTTTCATTTTTACCACTAGCTGTTTTATTAGTAAAGGAGAAGTTCAGTCTCCCAAGGTAGAAAGGTGCTTCTGAGTAACTTAAAGTTACTTGCGTTCCTTCGAGTGCAGAGGAATCCAGAGGTTGAGGAAGAGGCTGCGGGTGGGCGAGTCGACATGCTCATCTGGGTGGCTGGGGGCGGACGAGATGGAGGCCTCCTTTTCTCTTCCTTTCTCTTCTTTTCCGTTTCCATTCATCCCCTGAAGCCCCCACCCCTGCCCCGCAGCCTCCACGCTGCCGTCCGCAGCCTCCTTTTTCCCTGTGGGCCTCCGAGGCCGAAGGCCCGCTTCTGACTCCCAGTCAGGACTAGCGCGGTGGGCCGTTCGGAGGGGCAGTGCCGGACTCTCGGCCCCAGGCGTCCCTGGGCAGCTGGAAACCTCTGCTGTGCTCCGCTCCCCTGTGCTCAGGGTCCCGCAGCTCCAAAGAGCCGGAGTGCCCTCGGTTTCCATTTCTTCCTCCTAGCCCGCCACAGCTGTTCTCGTCCGAGGTAGGTGACGGATTGCTGACCTGCTGCCTCCACGGACCCTGCTTTTGGGCGTGGAGACCCAGGTCACTGAACCTGTGGTATTAGAATTTCCCTGTCAGTTTCAGCAGACGTCCTAAAATGGATCAGTTGATTGCAGAACCTTCTGGAATCTGTCCATCTGTTGCTTGGACAGGGCAGGTGCCAGAACTCTCCCCATCCCCTGCCCCCTGCGGACGTCGGGCCAGCCCTGTTTCTCGCTCCTGTAGCCCACGCTCTCCCCGTTGTGCCAGCCTCCCCGCCCCACAGTCTCCCCACCTCCTCCCTCACAGTGGGGAGCTGGCAGGTTCACTCGTGTCCCTGTCATGGCTGCTCCTGGAGGGAGGAGGGGGGCCAGAGAGATGGGCTTTCTTTTGTGTGTCCAGGGCGGGATTCCTACATGAGCCTCTTCTTGTTTTCTCACAGGGGACGTGTTCTTTCGCTTTCTTTTCAGCCCGATTGGCCACTAGATGTTAACTTTGGCCTGCGCTAACCCACTTTGGAAATTAATAGCGTTCCATTGCAGTTTCTCGTTTTTAAAATCAATCCTTGGCCCTGGTTGGTGTAGCTCAGTGGATTGAGCGCGGGCCTGTGAACCAAAGGATCACGGTTCAATTCCCAGTCAGGGCACATGCTTGGGTCGCAGGCCAGTTCCCAGCAGGGGACCCACGAGAAGCAACCACACATTGATATTTCTCTCTTTCTCTCCTTCCCTTCCCATCTAAAGATAAATAAATAAAATCTTTAAAGAAAAATAAGATCAATCTTTACAGCTTCTCTCCAGTAAAACGAAGGTCCTCAGCTCACACAGTGTCATGGAAGCGGCGTGGCGGTTGGTGTGTGCTCTGCGGTGGAGAAGCAGGAAGTGTCGGCAGCTCCTCTGCCTTCCCTTCCCTGTGGGCTCACCCTGGTTTGAGGCAGGGGTCAAGACTGCAGTGTGCCCCTTTTGTAGATTGAGAAACCGAGGAAGGCTTGAGGTCGTGGCGGGACCTCGTGTGGAACTGGTATTCGACGTGCGAGTTTCCGGAGCCACAGCAGGGGCTCAGCCCCTGCGCACGCAGCACGGTGGCCGACGGGCAGCCCTTCCGGCAGTGGGTAGAGAGCCGGCCACTGTGTGCGTGACGGGCTCCTCTGCCCTTCTGGGGGGTGGGGGGTGAAGGGTGGAGGGAAGAGGGGAGGTGGTCTCTCTCCTCAGCGTCCCCACTTGTTGATCCCTGCGATTACAGACTGTGTACACCTGGAAGCGGTCTCAGGGACCACTGGCTCCATTCCTGCCATCTTCCGTCAAACTTGTAGCTGTCTGAGACGCTGGACACCAAAATCCTAGATGACTGTATTCCTTTTGCAAAAGATGATGTGTTTGTTGTAGGAATTTAGAAAATGCGAACGAAAATGTGGACGTTCTAGGGCTTAGCTGAGGACGTCTCACAGCGGCGCTCGGGCTGCATCCTCTGGCTCCACAGGGCCAGCCCACAGTCAGCCTGGTGGGGACAGGCAGGCACAACTCGGGGAGGCGTGGCTCTTCGGGGCTCTGAGCACTGGCTCCTACCTGCTGGCTGCTGCCCGCGTGCAAGAACCGTGGGGGTTCAGTATGTGGTCAGACACGCAGCCTTTGGGCCCTCCATCCCCCCTCCATAAGTGCAGGCAACTTTGAGAATCCCAGAAGGAATGCCAGGACAAGCAGGTAACTGGTGTGCACTGTGTTTTTTGGTATATGGCAGATGGCAGCCATGGTCATGAACTGTTTAGATGGACATGGTTCTTTAAATATTTTTACTATTTATAAAAATTAAATCTATAGCATTAGCAGCCACACTCTCTTCTTATTTGCCTTTCTCTTTTTATGCTTTTGTCTGTCTTAAAATGCCCTCCTTTACTACCCTTGGTTAAGCAGAATCCATTTTTCAGGGCCCTTGGTCAAGTCCTCAGTCTTACTCAGAGGCTTTACAGGTCAGTTAGGCCACTGTGACCTGTCCTTTCTGGCACTCGGTGTCTCATCCTTTCTTTGGTCAGCCTGTACTGCCCGGTGTGCAACTTCGTGTGAAGGTGGCGTGACGGCGCAGATTGGTTAGGGTGCCAGACCGGACACGTGTCCAACCACCCATGTTCAGTGCTAGTTCCCATCGTGATGCTGTGATGAGGGTTACGATAGACTCTGTAAAAGCCTGACCTTGAAAATGAGCGGACTGACTAAAAACAGTACTCCCCAAAGGTGGCCTCATTCTAGCCACGTTGAATCAGAGACACGGGGAGTGGGCCCAGGAATCTGAATTTCAGCAAGAACCCGAGTGATTTTTTATGTTCACCAAAATCAGAGCACCTCGAATTCGTAGGTCTCAAAGCCCCTACCGATGCTGACCTTGGCGGGCTAGTGTGTCCCTGTCCCAGTGGTCGTCTCACCTCTGAAGGGGGGAGCACAGGAGCGTGGTTCCACTTTCTCTTGTGAGTGCTCAGGGAAGGCCGGTGTGTGGAATTTGGCAGCACAGCTTCCACACAGGATGGGAGAACTTAATGTAAATACATTTTATACATCTTACAAAGAGCTGTTGCCGGGGGAGGACAGTGGAGAAGCCAGTCTGTCGTCTCTTGTTTAAACATGTGAATCATATTGCTTGCAGTTTGGTTGCCTTTGGTTTCATTATAAACGTTATTTTTCTTTTCCTCCTGGTTGACCAAAGGAAAAAGTAATGACTCCGGGGGGGGGTTTAACTGCACTACCAAGGTCCACCCCTGGGGGACCGGATATCCCAGTTAGTCTTACTGAAGCTACTAGGAACTGATGTTGTATGTAGTCTGTGATTAGAATTGTCACATAAAACATTCTGTGTACTTTTTACCTATTCTCCTTTTCAAAAGCTCTGTTTGCATTTGACTTTTTCTTAATTACAGAGGAATTTAGTATTAACAGGAAACTGAACGAACCTGTCTGTTGGTGTGCAATGGGCTATTATTTATTTAAGAAAACTTATAATAAAAGTTGCTCTCTTGTGTCAGAGTGGATCAAGACAGAGTGGAAAGTCCTGGGGAATTTGCTGTGTCTAAGCTTAGGGGTCCCCCCGACCCCCGATGCTTCTCAGATCCCCCACACAGGTATCTGGTCCTGAAGGGCTGTTGAGAGGCTGCCCGGTCACCAGTCTTCAGAGAGTTCTCTTGCTTTTCTCTCTCCATCCAAATGTGGTGTTTGAAAAATACTGATAAAGCGTATGGGTATTTTCTTTTTGCATGGTCGCTAGACTGGGGTTCAAATCTCTCCACACATATTGTAGGTCCAAATATTAAATCATTGCTTTTTCTAAACACAAAATTACAAAAAGTTGTGTAAGATACCATTTTTTGCTGAAGTAACGTAGGCTTACTAAAATTTGTAAATAATCGATAAAGTTTAGTTTTTCTAGGCTTCCTAAAATACCTGTCTATACATAAAAATGGGATTGTGGCGTTTATTTGGAAGCACACACTAGTTAATGCGTTGTTCTAAGTTTGCTTTGCTTCCCTTCTGCACTTTTCCTTGACGTTCTTGTGTACGGTCCTGTTACTAAATGACGTCTTACAGACTGATGATTCCCCAGTCAGTACCTCTTTAGTTTCTCTCCTGAGTGTAAGACGCGCAAATCAGTTGCGTACAGTGTCCTGAGGGCACATCAAGTGCAGTGCATTGGGGACGGGAATCGTTATCTTTACCCCCAGCCGCCCACTGAGCCACCGCTCTGTCTTGTAGAGACACAGTGTGTCTCAGACAGTAGATAGATTGTAGGGAAATCTGGAGGCACCTGCTCCTTTGCTTTCTAGTAACCACTGGTATGTGTGTCCTTTGTTAATAAAGGTATAAAGAACACTGTTAAGCAAAACAGCCAAAGGGAGGCAAGGGGCTGGCTTGGCAGATTTTTTATGAATGAGGGTTGATAAGCATTTCTAGCTAGAAACAGTACAGTTGTAAAGAAGTTTCTTGAATGGACTGTATAAAAAGTTTTAAGACATTCAGAAGTAAAATAGATGAAAACTGCAGTTAAAAAATAGCATCATTTAAAAATATTCCTAATTTAATAGTTTTATATTAAAATAAGCACAAATCCCTATAGACAGAATCCTTTTTTGAAGAATCATAAAGGCAATTAAATATACAGTGAATCAAATTGGAAGTGTTCCTAGGAATATTTGTTTTAAAATTCTTATTTCACAACTAATTTGGTTTAATGTGGGGTTGTAAACACACAGTACAGTGTGCAGATGATGTAACACAGAATTGTAGCCCGAGACATACAATTTTATTAACCAGTGTCACCCCAATAAATTCAATTAAAAAAACTAATGTAATGGATTAGGAGGTTGATTGGTCTTTAACAAATTTTCTTTGGTTAATGGATTTTGAGTACATTAGTCTGTAACCCATGTAAATATACACTACTTCATTACATCTCAAGGCATACTGTATAGTATGTACTAAGGAGAAATGCTTGCAATTGATGACATGGTATGTTCTTAGAATATTTGTTATTTTTTCGAACAACTCTTTTATTCTTAATATTTAGGTATATATTACTTTAATGTGTGTCTATATATACATATGTATGAAAATGTAAATGAAATATATTGGTGAACATTTCTGAAACTTAGCTCACGTCACCATTCATGACAACACATACTCTGATTTCAGAGGTGTACAGATACAAAACGTGTGTCCTAGAGTCGGTGAAGCAGAGCGTGTGTGCCGCATGGAGGGGGAGTGGGGCGGTGTTACCGGTCTGGGCGCTGCCGGCTGGGGGGGGGAGGCACTCCCCTGGGGAGAGGAGGGAAGGGGGGGCGACTTTGAAATATGTGGGCTTCCCCTGGAGGGAGCAAAGCCCTGACGTGGCGGTTTGGAAAGGAGCGATTCCAGGGAGAAGAGGGCCCCAGGCCCCGGGCATCTAGAAAGCAGCAGGACAAGGGACTTCAGGTGTAGGTGTTTCATCGAGTCTGAAAACACGGGTCTGAAAACACGTGTCTGAAGCGTGTTTTCATTGAAAAACTCTGGAGTTAAAAGAAGTTTTTACCATCGTTTGAAGGAAAAGTGTGATGTTTACTTTCTTTGCATTCATTTTGAATGAAATGTGCCAGGATAACAGGCCAGGCAAATGACACTAAGTTAATTTATGTCGTCTTCAGTTTTCTTAAGGTTAAGTTTAAAATGCTGTTGTTCATTGTTTGTGGCTGAGAAGAAACCAAGGAGTAGAATAAATTAAGGTGTAGATTTTTGCCTAAAGATACAAGTACATGTGATTGTCAGCTTTATTGAAAATATTGAGAGTAGCTTTATATTTTTTGGTAACATACTGTTATGTTTATTTTTTAATAGAAAAAATGAATGCATCAAGCCAGCCGCCACATAAAGACACTGGAAAGGTCGGGGAGAATGTGGAAGAATACAGCTATAAGCAGGAAAAAAAGATCCGAGCGGCCATCAGGACGACAGAGCGCGACCACAAGAAAAACGTGCAGTGCTCCTTCATGCTGGACTCGGTGGGCGGGTCCCTGCCCAAGAAGCCGATCCCGGACGTGGATCTCAATAAGCCTTACCTCAGTCTCGGCTGCAGCCACGCCAAGCTCCCGGTGTCTGTGCCCGTGCCCATCGCGCGGACCACACGGCAGACTTCCAGGACCGACTGCCCGGCAGACCGCTTGAAATTTTTTGAGACTTTACGACTTCTTCTAAAGCTTACCTCAGTCTCCAAGAAGAAGGACAGGGAGCAGAGAGGACAGGAGAGTACATCCGCTTTCTGGTTTAACCGCTCGAACGAACTGATCTGGTTGGAGCTACAAGCCTGGCACGCGGGGCGGACCATCAACGACCAGGACCTCTTTTTATACACAGCCCGCCAAGCCATACCAGACATTATCAATGAAATCCTCACTTTCAAAGTTAACTATGGGAGCTACGCCTTTGTCAGAAATGGAGCCAGTTTTAATGGGACTCCGCTGGAAGGGCAGTGCAGAGCCCCTCCTGGAACGAGGGCTGTGGGTCACTCAACATATCACGAGCACCTGCAGCGCCAGAGGGTGTCCTTCGAGCAGGTGAAACGGATAATGCAGCTGCTGGAGTACATAGAAGCACTTTACCCGTCGTTGCAGGCTCTTCAGAAGGACTACGAGAAGTACGCCGCAAAGGACTTCCAGGACAGGGTGCAGGCACTCTGCCTGTGGCTAAACATCACAAAGGACCTAAACCAGAAGTTAAGGATTATGGGCACTGTTTTGGGCATCAAGAATCTGTCAGACATTGGCTGGCCAGTGTTTGAAATCGCCTCCCCTAGGTCGTCCAAAGGCAACGACGAGCCAGAAGATGAGGGTGACGACACCGAAGGGGATCTGAAAGAGCTGGAAAGTAGCGCAGACGAGAGTGGAGAAGAACAGGTCCCCGATCCAAGGGTCCCCGAGACCGGACACCCTGCTGACCACACTGGCACCCTCCAGCCGCAGAGCCGCCCGTCTAAGAAGCTCGAGAGGGTTGCGTCGGAGGATGAGGCTGGCAGCTGGGGAGCAGCTGACTGCAGCACGGAAGCAGGCTTTCGCAGACATTGTCTGACTTCCATCTACAGACCGTTCGTAGACAAAGCCCTGAAGCAGATGGGCTTGAGGAAGCTCATTTTAAGGCTGCACAAGCTGATGGACGGTTCCCTGCAAAGGGCACGGGTAGCCCTGGTAAAGAGTGACCATCCAGTGGAGGTAGGTTCCCAGAAGGCCTCTTTTGCTGTTGTACTTAATTCCATTACTGCTTGTGAGTGACGGTGTGTGTTGTGTTGTTATTGCGATTTCACAGTCTTGAGAGTTCTCTAACGTGTAAGTTGTAGTTATTTTAAAGTGTAGGTTTAAACATTTCTATCAAGTGTTGTGATAAATGGGGAAACGGATCTATGAAAACTGCACAAAACTTAGTGAATTAGGTATAAGGTGGTGTGTGGAGGGGAGAAGCGCAGCCATAGAAATGCAGGTTGGAGAGGGACGGACCTGGTGTCAATGACGAGGGGAGGAGCCCGTCCTGGGCTACCACAGCCGAATGTGAGTCGGTAAAAAGCCACGAAGAGACTTCCGCCAAGATGGAGGTGTAGGTGGAACCACCTGGCCTCTGTGCACAACCAAATCTAAGAACAACTATTTTTAACAACAATAAACACAACCAAGCCACAGAGAAAAACGACAATACGGAGTCCAAAGACAACGAAATGCTCAGCTAAACCGGTAAGAGGAGCGAAGCTAGCAGCTGAGCAGGTTGGCAAGAAAAAATCCCCGAATGGGTGGTGCGCGAGCAGCCGAAGGCGCAGAGCGCGGGCTGGCTATGGGAGCACAAAGGGAAGAGGTGCGGCGGCTGTCTGCGGTAGGTCGCGCATCTGCGTGCGGATAAACCAGTGAGGAGGGGAGCCTGCACGGGGCAGCAGGCTTGCACAATTCCGATCGGATAAACAGGCCCGGGGCGAGTGGTGTGACTGGACGGACTGGGCTAGCGGAGAGGACCGCCATTGCTCCCTCTCTGACCACGCCCCCACTCACAGCGTCACAAACCAGCGACCTGGGTTGCCCTGTCCTGGTAAACAATTAAGGCTTCGCTCTGCTTACTTAACGGCGCCAACAGACCAAAAATGGCTCTAGGACAGCTCAGAGCCCCAGAACCGATTGATCTAAGCGATGAAGAAATAGCCAATCTTTCAGATGCACAGTTCAAAACACTGGTTATCAGGATCCTTACAGAACTGGTTGATTTTAGTCACAAATTAGAGAAACATATGGAAGCTAAACTAATTGAAATGAATGGTAATACAAAGGAAACCAATAGTAATGGAAAGGAGATTGGGACTCAAATCAATGGAGTGGACCAGAAGGAAGAAAAAAATGATCAAACAGAAAAGAATGAAGAAACAAGAATTCAAAAAAATGAGGAGAAGCTTAGGAACCTCCAGGACATCTTTAAACGCTCCAACATTCGAATTATAGGGGTACCAGAAGGGGAAGAGTAACGAGTGGAAACCTTATTTGAACAAATAATAAAAGAGAACTTCCCCATTCTGGCAGAGGAAATAGACTTCCAGGAAATCCAGGAAGCTCAGAGAGTCCCAAAGAAGTTGGACCCAAGAAGAAACACACCAAGGCACATCATCATTACATTAGCCAAGATTCAAATGAAGGAGAGAATCCTAGAAGCAGCAAGAGCTAAGGGACAGTCACCTACAAAGGAGTTCCCATCAGACTGTCAGCGGATTTCTCAAAAGAGACCTTACAGGCAAGAAGGGGCTGGAAAGAGGTATTCCAAGTCATGAAACCCAAAGACCTACATCCAAGATTGCTCTATCCAGCAAAACTTTCATTTAGAATGGAAGGACAGATAAAGTGCTTCTCAGATAAGATCAAATTCAAGGAGTTCATCATCACCAAGCCCTTATTATATGAAATGTTAAAGGGACTTACCTAAGAAAAAGAAGATAAAAAATATGAACAGTGAAAGGACAGCAAAGTCACAGTTATTAACAACCACACCTAAAACAAAAGCAAACTAAGAGGACAGCTAGATCAGGAGCGGAACCATAGAAATGAAGATCACATGGAGGGTTAGCAACAGGGGAGTGGGAGGAGGAGAAGGGGGGAGAAGGTACAGAAAATAAGTAGCATAGACGGTAGATAGAAAATAGATAGGGGGAGGGTAAGAATAATAGGGGAAATACAGAATCTAAAGAATTTGAGACACGTGTTCATGAACTAAAGGGGGAAATGGTGGGGGAGGGGTATGCAGGGTGGAGGGGAATGGAGGGGGGGAATAGAACAAATGTAGTGGCATAATCAATAAAAAAGTTAAAAAAAATAAAAAGCCACGAAGATGCTAAAGCACTTTTACCTGAATACAGCATCCAAGGTCATGGGTGTGCAGAGTTCTCCCTCTCTTCTTCACAATAGCTTACTCCTTTTTCGAGAGCATGGCCAGTGTTGGCCACCGAATGTTGAGGAGACGTGAGTTGTAGGGATGTGTGAGAGTGACCAAAGGAGAAAAGGTGCACCGTTTGGGGAGGGTCAGCACTGGTGACGGAGGTCCAAGGGAAGTCTTAGTTATTTTGAAAGACGTGTTCGGCTGGTGAAGGTTTTTGTGAAAGGAGCCTGCCTGTTAGAGGAAGTGGTTTGAAGTTGGGTTTTGTACACTTTTCAATTTGACAGTTAAGAAAGTTAATTTCAAGATGTCACAAGCTGAAGGGTGACTCCTTGCAAAAGGGTACCTGTAGGAGTTCTCTGCTGCTGGGGGTGGCACGACTGAAGGGCCACACTTGGGTGTTGGCCTTGAGAGTGCAAGTGCACGCAGCTTCTCCGTGGTCAGTGTGCGTGGCTCGTGGCTGAGAGCAGAGGGACCCAGACTGTGGGGCTCCCTCTACCTGTGTGGGGCTGCAGTTTTACATTTTGTTGCTATGTGCCTGTGTCTGTACTGTTACGAAAAAAAAGCAAACCTCAGTTTATCACACAATCTGGAAAAATTATTTTTAAATTGATGGGTCATGAACCCTTAGGAGGCTGGTCAAGCAATCATGTAATACAGTACGATGTTTGCAGAGTAAGTTAACACCTCGTAGCTATTGGAGCTTAGTTTACTTTGAGTATTGTTTTGATTAGAAATCTCAAATGTAAATCTGTACTGTGATTTTCTTTTGAACAATACCGTAACTCAGAATGGTATGTTTATGTACATCTTTTTTTAATAGCGAATGAGCTGTACCCCTTTCGTCTGTGAATAACAGTTTTACGGTGAGGTTTTGTTACACTGCAGATTTCACAGTCAGTGAAGCGAATGCAGAGCTGTAAGGAGGGTCGTGGTGCGTTTCAGACGGGGGTAACGTTCTTTGGTCTAGGTTTTTGGTGTGAGCGGTTCAGCCCCAGTGAGGACACTTGAGCCAGACAGAGGTTTTGCTGGGTTTGTATCGTGAAGCCCTAGTTTTGAAGTGATGAGAGCAAAGAGGAGTGGCCCTCTCAGTGCAGCTGTGACTAGACTCAGCGGTTCTGGGGGGAGAGGGGCCCGGGTAGGCGTGTCCGGGCTTCTTACAGGCACCATGTGTGCTGTTGCCCACACTCGCCCCGCCCCCAGGCCTTCTGGGAAAGTGACCCTCGCGGCTGACGAGGTGCTTTGCGCCCTTAGATATGTTGGAACAAGAAGAGCGCTGAGAACAAGCTTACTACATTTTGTTAGAACCTACGTTCAAAAAGTAGCAGGGAGCTGTGGCGGTGTTCCTCCGCCAGAGGTGTGTGCCTTCGTTTGGCCAAGTAAGATGTGACTGAAATGGCTTTATCCTTGATGTGAAAGAAAGGAAACATACAAATTAGAAGCTTAATATGTGCGTGATTAAAGATTTGTTTATTAAAATCCTCTGTAGATTGTTTTCTAAAAAAAAATAAATAAATGAAGTACAGCCCTGGCTGGTGTGGCTCAGTGGATTGAGCACCGGCCTGCGAACCAAAGGGTCGCCAGTTCAATTCCCAATCAGGGAACATGCCTGGGTTGCTGGCTGGGTTTCTTGTGGAGGGTACATTGATGTTTCTTTCCTCTGTCTCTCTCCCTTTCCCTCTCTGTAAAAATAAGTAAATAAAATCTTCATAAAAAATGAAGTACAGAAGGCTCTGTTTTAAATTTTGGTTTGTAAAATGTGGTGTTTGTTAAATAATGAAAGAGTAACTGAGAGCTACGGTAGAAATTTTTCTGTATTGGAGGTTAATCCAGATTACTGAGATGAGGCTCCGAAATGGTGAACGCAGTGGGCAAGTACGACTTCGTTTTCATTCCCATTTTGGGAGCACAGTTCTGGAAGGAGAAGAGGGCGTGTGGGAGTGCGTGTGCACGCCCCTCCGGGGTGGCTTTGCTCCAGGCTTTGCACTGGGTGTGTTGGGGGAAGGGCCCACAGTCGTGGAGGCACACGGCCGGGTCCCACTCCCCGACTCAGCTCCTTCTCACCCTGTAACTCCGTGAAGGACGTAATCTTTCCGACCCGACGTCTTCGTGTCTGTGAGATGGTCACAGTACCGTCCTGCCTACCTCACAGGGTTGTCGTGAGGCTCAAAGAGACGTTTACATAAACAGTGAAATGCTGGAGAGGGTGAGTATAAACTGTTATTTTCAAGAAGTTTAGCGACTTTTCCCTCCATGGAAACTTTCTGTAAGTCAGTATGGCTAGACTATTCTATACTTTTGCTTTTAAAATGTATTTTATCTTTTAATTACCAAATAATTGTGTATTTTAAGGGCATATTAAGCAGTGTAACACTTGTTAGGTTTGAGAATGCCTTTATTATCACTCTTAGTTGTTAGAAACATTTTGAGCAACCTCACATTATACTCTGTGTGTCTTCCAGTTTGTGCTATTTTTCCGGCTTATGGGATAACGGTAATGAATATAGTTGAAGGGTTCGTAGAAAATAAGAAATACAGTTTTGATACTTGATTTTTTTCGTCTATGTCTTTATATTCTTATTCCTTATGATTAAGATTCTTGTAACTAGAGTTTAAATAACATATGATCTTACGTTTAATTTTTGGCTTGTAAGCATGCTTTATAAAACAATTTTCCTCTAAAATTTTATTATTTTACAATTTTTAAATTGAAAAAAATTGCAACTAATGATACTAAAAATCTATTTGCAGTTTGCCTTTGTTACTATGAATATCATACCTGGCCAAATGTTTTGTTCAAAATTAGATAACTTTGTAGCTCCCCAGCGTCTGTACATCCATGTCCTCAGGACACATTTCCAGTGACGTATGTGGTCTCTGATTGACAAGGTTCGCTTTGTAAAATGGTTGTTGGCATCTCCGAAATTCTTATCTAGAGAAATTGCTGTTAAGCCAGACTCTTGGGCCATCACATAAAACTTATTGAAATCTAAGTAGCAGGACAAACACTGTGAGCCAGAGTTTCATTCCTGGTAGCGAGGACGACATGACAATGCAGGTGGGAAAGCGAGAGCCCAGAGGCCGACCGGGACTCTTTTCTCCTCCTCTTGTGGGCCCAGATCGACCCTAGTTCTTTTTCATGCCCACCTGTTTGTCTCCTGGTTTCCTTGTTCCCGTGGTGTTGAAAGTGTCCCAGGAGCACGGTGTCCTGTTCCTCCGCTGTGACCTGTGTCCCTGTAATTGAGGCTTGGTTGGCGTCGAGCTTTGGGAGTGAGCGTGTCCAGTAGCCATTTCACATAACCTGTGCCGGTGTCCTGGCCTCCAAGTCCTGCTCCTTCCCTACAACTACTGCTTGCAGAGTGTCCCTTTCTGACCTTCGTTCAAGGTCAGCAGGGGTCATCTCAGCAGTGCAGGGGTTTCTGGGAACCCTCCCCAGTAGTTATTGCAGCAAAGGGTAGGCTTTGTTGTATTATTTACACTTAACATTATTTATAATTTTAGTTTAAAAATTAAAGCAAGAGACCTTGTAAACATAGATAACAGACTTCTCCTCGATGTCAAGACTGCCCCCATGCAACTGCAGTCTCCTTTTTTGAATAAATGTGTAATCTTGGAATAATTTTAGGTTTTTAGAAAACTGGCCAAGATAGTACAGAGCTTCATATGCTCTTCGTCCAGCTTCCTCTGTGATTGAAATCTTATTTAGCTCAGATACATTTGTTAAAATGAACAGAGTAACATTGGTACAAAATCCTGCTAACTGAATGGCAGGCACTGTTCAGGTGTCTGTTCTTCCACCCCTGTGCCTTTCCTGCCCCGAGGTCTGGTCGAGGACGCGCTGTGCTGCGTGTGACCCACGTGCCCTCCCATTCTTCTCTGATCCCTGGTGGTTTCTGCCTTGTTTTGTTTTGTTTTGTTTTGTTTATCACAGCCTGAGTGGCTTATAGAATGTCCCTGAGTCTGATTCTGTCTGCTCTCTCATGGTCAGACCGGGTGTATGGGCCTGGGCACGAACACCCTGGTTGAAGTGCCCTTGAGGCATTACGCTGTCACAGGGGAGGTCGACCTTGGTCCCTTGGTTAAGGTGGTGTCTGCCAGGACCCCCCATAAGTTCCCTGCTTTTCATTTCCACACTCCATTCTTAGGAAGCAAGTCCCCCAGCTCAGCTCCTGCTCAAGGGGCGGGAAATTTGTCCCACCCCAGGGATGGGGAGTGTGTGCATGTATTACTGGTATTTGTGATTCCTCTGTGTGGGAGACTCGCCTCTTCTCTCCCATTTAGCCATTGGAACGCCCATTATTTGATTTTAGTCTGCGTTACCATCTCGTACTGTTGTTACTTATTTTGTTTCTTGAATTGTTTCTGCTTTATCCATTGGAGCTCTTTCAGTTGGCTTCTGGGTCCTGTAGACACGTCCCCATCTCTCTGTGTGGGCTGTTGCCTCTCGTGGGCTTTTTGAGCACTTTCTGACGCTTCGGCGTCCTCTCGTACTTTCCCTGTCCCAGTCCTGAGGTCAGCAGTTCTCTAGGGAACTCTGGTGCCTCTTACTGGAGAATGGTGTTTAGAAATGAAGATGCGGGCATGGCCTGTGTTTGTTACTGCTGGGTGTCGTTGCTGCTAGGCCCTGCCAGAGACGGAGAGAGAAAAGACGGCACGTCTTCCAGCCCGTGTGCGTGCGCAGGTCAGTGTTGACTCTTCGCATTTAAAAATGAGAAGACTTCTTGTGGAAGTCTGGAATTTTTGTTTTCCGTGACACACTGGGAGGCCTGTTGACACTGGGCCTTTATCACCCACCTGGCAGCACCTGGGGGGCTCCCGTTAACACAGCTGTCGCTGCTCACTCTTCACGGCCACCCCGCCCACGCTCTCAGCTGCAGCACTTTGCTGGCCCCGCAGGCGTTGTAATTGGTGGTGTGACCCCCTAGTCCAGAGACATAGGACTGACTTGTGAAGGACAACATAAAGTCTGTTGTGATCTAGTTCTTCACTTTGTGAACTAATATGCTTGCTTCTGTTTTACTCATTTTTTTTGAAGTAGGTGAAAAAGTGAAGTTACCATTTTATCCTCTACCCCTGCTCAGAGTAGTAGTTGGTTGGTATCTTCTGGACTTTTCTGTGCACGTATAAATGTCTTTGTGTGTAATGCAGGTACTTTTCTCCAAGAAGACAATGCAATGCCCTGTTTGTTCTGTGACTGCTGGGCCGTAGTCTCTGCTTTGGGTCCACCCATATCGCCGTGCTCACTTTCCATTTAACCGCTGCCTGCTGTCGCACTCTGTGGCATTAAACCGTCACTTACGTAGGCATGTCACTCTCGGCGGAAGCCCGTTTCCACCCCCCGGTGAGCAGTCTTTGCTGCCCCGGTTATCCTATGTGCCAGGCTGCGGGGCTTTCCGTGAGTCTGCTCCAGGCTGGAAGTCCGGTGTGTCCTCCCGTAGCCTCACTCCTCCGGCCACGGACGGGACGCCAACACCATGTGTGGGCCCCGGCGTTGCTCTGTGCGCCAACATGGCCGGTCATGTTTTAGTTCTCACGGGCAGTCTGAGCAGCCTACAGGTACACGCAGACACGCGGTGCGTCGCAAGCTCCCACTGACACTCACCGTTCAAACCCAGGTGTTGTCAGGAGTGTCCATGTCTCACACTCACCGCAGGCTGCCGTCTTTAAAGCCGTGTGTCTGAGCAGAAACCTCTGCCTGCCGAGGGAAATGAGAGTCGGCATTAATTTGATGCACCAGTGTGTGTCGGACATGAGAGAATGTGGCTGGGGGAGACCTGCCGAGTCCCCGAAATGACAGGGAGCACAGGTCCAAATGACAGCTGGAGGCAGAACACCTGTCATCGGTGCTGTTTTAAGTTGTAGGGAAGCTGAGAATTTCAAATTCGGATGGCTTTGGTGTTCTCAAGAAGAGGAGGTGAAGTCTTTGACCTTGGTTGGTCGGCGCGATGCTGCCAGAGGCTTCAGAACAGTGGGTTTAAGGATGCTCCAGACCCCGTGCCTCGTGGGGAGAAGGCGTGACGGGCGGGTGGGCGACACCAGGGTGCCAGGCAGCACTGGCTAGCGGACATTGAGTGGGGCCAGCGGGTCAGCTTTAGGGACTTTTTAAACTTTTCTATCAGTGTTATTCGGAATAGCTTAGGAGAAAATGGACACAAAATTTGTTGGATCCACTGTTTTTTGTGTTACATAAGTGGTTACCTGGTTTTATAGTCTTTTCTCGAATTTTAATAATTTTCTGGTTTTCTCAGTCCAGGGATAGTTGTGCATAATACTGCATATAATCTTAAAAATAGGTGTTCTGGTCATTTTAATAAAAATATGAAAAAGATGTCCTTGATTCTATTTCTACTATACCTTTTTGACAAATAATTACAATTTTGTTTCAGTCCTCATTTCAGTTTTCTAATACTTCTAGAACTTTCTGGGTCAATACTAAAATCTTAAATTATTCTAAAGATTTTTTTTCTGTATAGATTTGATTTTTATAGATTTGTCAGCCAGCTCCAGAGAATAATAGTTTATAACGACAACCTCGTGTATGCTCTTTTAACTTCCGTTGAATTTCCATTCCAGTTTTCTGAGTTCCCAGACCCCATGTGGGGCTCCGATTACGTGCAGCTGTCCAGGCCGCCACCCCCTCCAGAGCAGAAGTGCAGCCCTGTGTCCTGGGAGGAGCTGATATCCATGGACCTCCCGTCGTTCGAGCCTGCCTTCCGCGTACTCTGCCGAGTGCTGCTGAACGTCATCCACGAGTGTCTGAAGCTGCGGCTGGAGCAGAGGCCGGCCGGGGAGCCCTCCCTGCTGAGTATTAAGCAGGTTGGTGTCAGAGGCTGTTTGTAAAACATGTAAAACGTCTGGCAGTTATTATCGCACCCACAGGCTCAGAAGTTTTTTTGAGGATTTTTTCCTACTTGTTGCAGATAGTGAAGAACGAGTGTGTGTTAGTGTTCACAAGCTGCTGTTGGCAGGGCAGCTGAAGATGTTCTTTATGTGCAGTACTCAAAGACAGGACTGTGCTCAGCCTTTCCATACTGTGTCCTTGTCCCGGGGCTGTGGAAGTGTGGCAGTGATGGGACCCTGTGCATCCTGTTGGTATCAGTCTGTGAAGACAGGAAACCTGCAGTTACTTCCTTTAAGTTCTTCACGTTTATGTTTTTTTGTTCTCTTTGAGCTACATGTAAGCAAATAAAGGCCCCTCAGACATTCTGAGGGCAGGAGTTTGGACGCGTGCTTGCGCTGTAGGCACTTGTGCCGCGTGCGCAGAGCGACAGCTTCCGCCCTGCGTTGCCGCGGGCTTTATGGCTGGAGGCAGTTGTGTCTGGCAGAGTGATGCTGAAGTGTGTTAGTGTTTACGCTCTATGACGTTGCCATTACAAAAACATTACTTTGTAGAAATGTTTCTACAGAACATTCACACTGTACAAAACAAGGATTACAGCGTGTGAAGAATAGCTGTGTGTGTGTAGGCTGCTCATGTCCACCCTGGAGCCTGAGTGTAGGGAGCTCTTTGACTCTGGAGGGCAGGCTGGAGTGCAGGGAGGGGCGTGGGCTGAGGAAGGACAGGCGGGGGCGGGGCCGGCGGGACCCGAGTCTGTGCCGAGGTGGGAGTGGGTGGTCTCCGTGGCATTTCGGTGTGTTTCCATCCATTTGTCTTCCTGGGCATATTATACATACTTTAAAGTGTGCGCATACAAGTTTAAAAATGAAAAATATGTAGGGATGAGTTTTTACCCTTTCATATTTTTCAAACCAAGATTTTAAATGGGTGCCATAATGCTCTACTATATAGGTGCATCATAGTTTATTTAATACCGATGGTTTTTAATAACATTGTGGTAACTATATCTTTATATAACAGTCTGCATCTCTGCTGACTTCTTGAGTATAAAACGAAAGTAGTCTAGAAGTCATATGTTTTTAGATTCTAGAAAGTTTGTATCAGTTTACTTTACCAGTAGCACCCTGAGGCTCTTTTGTGTCTTTGCTAATTCTTGTTAAAACTTATGTGACTCTGAGCCTCTGCCCGTAGCCCCTGCCGCCTGGGAGCGTGCAGGTGGCCTGCGTCCACTTGTCGCAGAGGAAAGGGCCTCGCGGCCACCTCCTCCCTCCTCCCAGTGTTACCTCTGGGCCACACAGTCGGGTTCCACTCGTCATCTTGTGTCCTCACTTCCCGTGGCTCCCGTCTGGTTTTACCAGATTAATCTTGGTTTGGTTTGTATGATTATGACAGTTGTTTGATAGTAAAAGCCACAAATCACAGTAGGTAAACGAGGCTAAGTTATTAGAAAGGCCACCATGTTCTGTGCTAAGTATATTTGAATCTTTATCATGATTAAAAGTGACCAGACTTTGGAGATTTTTCTCTTGTATACCTTGTCTTATAATGTAAACTAGTAGAAAAATGCATCTTTTCCTACAGGATTTATTTTCTATATAAGTTTATTTGTGGGAGGGGAGTATAAGGGGACTAAATGGTAATGGGGGAATACAATAAAAATAAATCAATTAAAAATATAAATTATTGGTAGGAAGGTTTATCTTAGCAAATCAGTGTTTGCTACATGATGTTTTCTCTGCATTCTTGCTGCAGTACTAAGTGCTTTATTTTTACTACTTGTTCTTATCCAGTCGAGACTTGTAAGGTATTTGTGTAAGAATCTGGACAATATTTTAGGTTGTTCAGAGTCAGGATCCGTTTTTCTGAGTGCTCTGAGGATTCAGGTGGGGACCGTGACAACTGCCACGTGGTGTGGGCAGGCCGTGTCACTGACAGAACCCTTGACTGCCCTGCAGCTGGTCCGTGAGTGCAAGGAGGTGCTGAAGGGCGGCCTCCTGATGAAGCAGTACTACCAGTTCATGCTGCACGGCGTCTGGGACGGCCCCGAGGAGGCTGACTGCAACATCGACGCCTTCGAGGAGGACCTGCAGGAGATGCTGATGGTGAGGACGGCAGGCGGGGCGGGGTGTCCTCCCGGCCTGCTCCGCTGCACGTGTGCACGTGTGCGTGTGTGTGCCAGGGCTAACTCTAGCCGATTGTTCTGCTAGCTTGTTCCAGTTCACAGTTTAGCTGTGGGTCTGTGGCAGCGTGGCCCTGATGTGGCATTGGAGTCGGGCCCTCCTGCTGAGGCATCTGTCCCTGCTGCACGGGAACAGCCGGGGGCGCCACGGGGCCCCACATGGCTCTGGGGGCAGGGACGAGCCCTGCGAAGCTCAGTCTGAGCTCTGGGCAAAATTGGTGCCCCCCACTGAGCAGCGGGTGCTTGGAGGGAGAACTGTGCTGAAGTGCGGGGAAGGGTGAGGGACCGGCCGCCTGCACTGGCTGGGGGGACGTCTGGGGGCATCTCAGAGTGAGGAAGCTGAATCTCAAAGACGACTCAAGTTCACTGAGGAACCTGGCTTGTTCAAGGAATTGCAAATAATATGATTCGGCAGGAGCAGACTTATTTGTATGTGTTTCCAAACAGAGCTCCCCAGACTTCTCACATTTATTCTACATACCTGTGTTTTCCGACCTCTGGACTTTCACGTTACTTCTTCCTGCTCAAAATGGCCCTTCTCCTTATCCCCATCTATGACTTTAAAGTTTCACTTTTTTCTGGAGAGCTTAGTTGACAGTTTTAACCTTTAGTGTGCTTTATCTAAACTTCTCTGAATTCTTGGCAGCTGTAATTAGAACTGTACTACTTAGTACTTAATGGTCTAGCACCTCTCTGTTCTCAGGTTCCCCTAATTAGACTGAAAGCTTTACAGGCCACGGGCTATGTCTAGTTCTTCCGCCTTCCGTAATGTCGGGGCGAGTGTTAACATACCGTAAATACAGGTCGGATTCAGTAGAGGGGACACAGCTGATGACACAGTGTGGCTGGTCGGGGAGCTAATTAAGGAAACGAGCACACTGCCAGGTGTGTGGTCTTTGGGATGCCTTTATCCTGGCTTGACACCTCACTGTCCGACCTCAGGATGGCTGAGCACACCCAATACCACCCCACTTCCTGGGCTGGAAGGATGGAGAAGGCGGACGGGAAAGGTGCTGGCCAGCCGAGTCCCGAACAGCGAGCAGGTGCTCCTGAGTGCCAATGGCCCATCGAGCTTTCAGCCTCTGTCGCAGGAGACTGGGAAGAAGAGTGTGACTGGGAAGGGCTCTCACATCTGGCATTGAAATTATTTCCCAGTTGTTTGGGAAAATATGTAAAAGACCAGAATGTCTGAAATGTGGCCATGTTTAAAAATACTAGAATTTCTTATGTCAGAGAAGTCCTTATCATTGAAAACTTACTGTAAAAAGCAACAAGCAAACTGATTTTTCTCCATGGGTGAGTCAGCCAGGGGTTTAGAGTGAGAAAATATGTTTTGCTTTCCAAAGGCCCCCTGCCCCTCCATCACGTAATCCCCCTTGCACAGGAAGGGTCAGGGTCAGGTGGGGAGAGTCTGCCTTCCAGGCCCTGCAGTTTCAGAGACCTGGTGGACCCGTGAGGCCGCTGAAGGGCAGCTTGAGTGAATTACCAGTCTGCAGCTGGTTAGAGCTAGAAATGCCTAGGATTTAGTTCGAGCTGTGCTACTAATTATCCGTGTGAGCCATAATCTTCTTTAGTTTCTCTCCATCGTTTTACAGATGAAGAACTTATCTGTAAAGGAATACACTAGCAATCATCAATGCTTTTAAAATCATGCCCCTGAGTGTGCTCAGCGGGAAAGTGCAGGGCAGGTTTGGGACCTGGGGAGCCCACACAGTGGCCTTCGGGTAGACAATCAGATTACGTTTGCCACAGCACCCTTCTCTTGAAACTCACCAAAACTAGCAGAAGGAAGAGTAAAGAAAATGATTTCTTGTTTGGTAAAGGAAGAAGTTGACTAAATATTCACCCCTCCCCCCCAAAAAAGATTGTACCATTACTTGCTTTAAAGTTTAGCCAGAAGTGAGGGTAAGTATCTTCCGCTGCAGACCTGGGGGCTGTCCGGGGATTGGTTTGAGTTGTGATCTGCAGGGGTGTGGACAGTCGGGAGGGAAGGAGGGGCTGTCCCTGTGGGGGTGCTGTTGTAGGTGGCACATCTGCGAGACAGAAGGAGCCCAGGTGAGGACACTTGTGTGTGCCGCTTGCCCTGTTGGCCAGACAGGTGTAACCTAGAGGTCCGCTCGGTGCTGCGCCATCCTTCTGACTTGCAGACCTAAGAGAATAACTTGGGGAGCATTTGTTTGAAGCAGCAAATCCACGTGGAAGCTGTGGACGGCTTAGCTCATCGCCCTGGCCTTGGAAATAACCCAGACAGTAAACATAGCATCCAGCGTAGGATCTTGTGATCGAGGACTTGAGGAACCACAAGAAAAGAACTGAAGAGGAATGAAAACATGAGCACGCTGTACAAGACACGGGGTTTGTGGAAGACGCACAAGGGAGAGCTCGGACTTGGACGCTAGTGCTCCTGGGAAGGAGGGGGCGGGCAGAGGGGCAGAGTCCGTTTTCATCCTGCAGGTGTTGTGAGTGTGGCAACAGAGTGCGTGTCTGCTGTTCAGGCCAGGCAGGCGGTGTGACAGGCGCTCAGTGCCCGCCTCAGGGTGAGGAAGGGTGGGAAAGTGGTGGTTAAATACTGCAACAGTGAGTGCTGTTGCCAAGGAGAGGCGCAGGCCTGGGCGGCCCCGACAGCGCGGGCGGAGCTCACGGGCAGGCTGGGAGAGGCTTCCTTGCCGCAGAGGCGCCAGCATGTGTGTGCGAGCCCAGTGTCTGTGCACCCTTGACCACTTACACAGTGATGCCAGCAGCTTGTGTGTTGTAGTTATTACTGTATGTGACAGGTTGATTTAAAAAGCATGTACACTGACGTCATAACTTGTAGCCCCTGAGGAGGGAGGAGAGAGGTGAAGAAACAAAGTAGACATGAACTTTGTGATGTATCATTTCTTACAGAACAAAATACTCTCTCTGATAGGACAAAATGCTGACGCTTGTTCATCCTGACCGATACATGTCAGTTAGAGTGTTTCTGATCCCCCTGACACTTGAACTGAAAGAAGAACGATGGAGGGGACCCTGCCCCCCAACAGGGAAGGCCACCAGGGCTGTCTGGGCGGCAGGCAGCGCACGGCTGCAGGGTCCCCAGGAAGCAGTGCAGAGAAGTCTGGAGGGTGCAGGGCATTCCCTCCTTTTGTTTTCACACGTCCTGCCTGGAGCAGCGGCTGCCGTAGCAGTGGGGGTGCGAGGAAGCCGGCCTCTGCATGCAGTGAGGTGGGGGCCCTGGTGGGCTGGGGCCGGGAAGCTGGGGCGGGCAAGGAGCACTCAGGGAGTGACCCAGAGCCGCAGCCTGGGATCTGTTCCTCTCCCACGTCCATTGGATGAGAGCCGGGCAGCACCATAACTGCAGGTTCCGCACACATGGCCATGTGTGTCACAGGCCCAGGACTGGGGACCAAGGGCACGTGCCCAGATGGAAGAGGGCCCGGAAGCATCCAGAGACTCAACAGGAGACTGTTTTCTTGGAATGAAAACAAGACTTGGAATTCACCCGTGGAAGGTTGTTACAGGTCTCACAACATTCCTGCCAGTGAACCTGAGGACATAACCCAATGACATGCTGAAGTCCAAGGCCTGGGAGAGCCCTGTGAACGTCTCAGCAGCGACTGCCAGTCCCCCTCAGGGTGTGCGGAGTGTGGTGACAGGTGGACAGGGCTGCTCAGGTTTCTTCATTCCAGTGCTGCAGCGGGAGAAGGCGGTGCCGCGGCGCCGGGAAACGCTGAGGGGGCAGCGTGGAGCTCGCAGCCTTGGTGTGCAGCCTGCCTCCTACTTAATGTGAAACCCCACGAAGCCGCGGATAAGTCACAATGGGAATTCAGGGATGGGAAAGCTGTAATAGGACTTCTGGCCATCAACCCCACTTCAGAAAAGCTGGGCATTTGGGTTATAGCTCATAATTTGTCATACACCTTGAAAAATTGTATCACAGCAGTGGTGCAAAGTGTGTTCATTGCCTTTCAACACGTAAGCTGCTGTGTAAGTCACAGTGATTGGACGAGCCCCTTACAGGAGCAGTGACGTTGGTAGTGTGTGAATGACGTTTCTGGGGGCTCTTATTTTGATTGCTAAAACACTTGATTGCACTTTTCCATACATTGTGAGCATTTTAGGTGTTTTCTCAGTAGTCTGCAGGGATGGTGAAGTTGCTGAGGAGGTGAGTTACGCGATTTGAGAGAAGTCCTCACTCGGACACCAGCGGACAGCGTGCAGTGTGCCCGGGCTGCCCTCTCCTGTCCCGCCTTCCGACGTAGCGTCCGGGGCAACCGAGGTGAGCCCCGGGAGTCAGTGAAGTCTGTTCTCAATCGTTCCTTGTACGTTTTTGTATTTTAAGGTATATTTTGATTACATGAGAAGCTGGATCCAGATGCTACAGCAGTTACCTCAAGCATCCCATAGTTTAAAAAATCTGTTAGAAAAAGAATGGAATTTCACCAAAGAAATAACCCATTACATCCGTGGAGGAGAGGCCCAGGCTGGAACGCTGTTCTGGTAGGAGCCCCGGGTCCCCGGGTCCCCGTCTGCCCCCCTCCCTCCCTCCCTCCCTCCTGCTCCCCGCTGCCTCCAGCTCCCTCTCGTGCGTGTTTGAGGTGGAGCTCCGTGCCCCTGGCCCGCGTTTGTTACCAACCGGGGGTTGTTCCCTTCCCCCCGGGACACCAGGCAATGTCTGGAAGCAGTTTTGAGTGTGACAGCTGTGAGGGACTACTGACACCTAGTGGGCAGGGGAAGGGATGCCGCCCAGCATCCTACAGCACACAGGATGGCCCCGGACCAGAGAGTCACCCAGCCCAAGTGCCAGGTTTGCGTGGAGCCGCCCTGCCTTAGAGTGAACCCTCTTGGGTTCTCCTGAGGTGGGGCAGGACGCCCTGAGGGCCTGCGGGCCTCCAGCCTCAGGATACCTGGGGCGGAGAAGGGCATTTCCATCACACTGCTTTGGGGTGTGGCACTGGTGACAGGATCTCTGTGAGCAGGTGTGCATGTGACGGAAGGTTAGACATCAGGACAGGAAAGCCGGGAGGGGACAGTGTGGTCCCCGGCCTGTCTGCTCTGGAAAGTGAACGGATCCGAAGCTCAAGACATGGTACTGAACTCAGCTTTTCTTCTGCCCCCCACCCCGGGGGCCGGTGCACCCCACTCCTGGAAGGCTCCGGAAGGCTTCCGCTTCCACAGGAGTGGCCTGGTCTTGCAGCTTTAGAGAGCAAGCTGCTGTTCTCAGCGCGACCCACCTCCTGTCAGTCTTGCTCCACGCTTCTGCCCTGACCCCCAGCTGTCTCCTCCTCTCCTTTGTCTCCAGTCTGGGTGAGCGGTGAGCTCGCTCTGCCCCGGACTCTGCGCCCTGCAGCTGGGACCCCCTTTTGCCGTGCTGCTTTCCCGAGTCGGCCTTATCGAGGGTGCGGCCACTGCCGTTTTCAGTGTCTCTCCCACACTTAACCTCGAAATTCTGCTTTGCCTGTGTTTTCTATTTACGCTACCTGTTTTTAGGCTATCAGGCTTAGTCGAAGAAAAATTTTAAACAGGCGACTGTCCATTTCCCTGTCAGTCGGTGCCCTGTGGTCCCCTGGCCCCTCACTCCCCTGCCAGTCTTTCCTCGGTTCTTCCTCTTTGAAGCCCCATGCAGCGCCGCCTCCGGCCTCCCCTCCACGCTGTGCGTCCTCAGTGCCTCCCAGGGCTGCTTCCTTGCCCTGCCGTGGGGCTGCCCGGGACTGTCATGGTCTGGTTCTCGGGCGGTGGCCGTGCCAGCGTGGCGGTCTGCTTCACGTGCTCGGTCTCCCGGGTTCTGGGGCCCTGGGCTTAGCCCCAGTTCTCCCCGTGTCCCACACACCTCCTCCTCCGTCTGGCCGTCCCTCGGGAGAGACCCTCGGCCTGATCTCTGCTCGCCAGCCCACGTTTCCACGCAGCCCAGCTGTTGTCGGTTACCGCACTCCTGCCCCAGCTCTCCAGCCTCTGCCTCCACCCTTCATCCCAGTAGTTCCGCCACAGCCAGAGGGACCGTGGACCGTGTCACCGTGCCCATCCGTGCAGTTCCTCCTCTGCTCTCCGTAGGTCCATGGCTGCTCCCCTTCTCACTCAGGGAAAGTGAGGCTCGCACGGGCTCCCTTCTCATCCACCCTGTCTGTGCCCCTGCTTCCTGCGCAGCCACGGCGGCTTCCTGCCTGGGTCTCGTGGGGGGCCCGCTCCCTGCGCTCCCTCCGTCTCTTGGCCCTGCTGCCCCTCTGCCAGGATCCCCCCTGCTCTCTCCATGGCTCCTCCTCTGCTTCCTTCACATACATCTTTGTCCACATGTTACCTTCTCCGGATTTAAAAATGGAAATTTGTACCTGCAAATGTGTCTTAGCTTTCTTTCTTATTGTATTTCTCTCTACATGGCACTTGTCTGAAATAGTGTTTATTTTCTTTTTTGTTTATTCTTTGTATCCTCCGTTTGGTGAGGAGTTTTATCTGTTTTGTCCCTGCTGCGTAGTACATTACAGATACTTGGTATTTGTGGAGTAAACCCTTCCTGGACATCCCTGTATACTGCTGTTCTTTTTCAAATGCACGTTTCTCACTGGGCGCTGTCCCACTCTGGTTTCTACAGCCCGCCCTCTGCCTTCCAGGTGCAGGTCAGGGAGTCCTCGTGATGTCTGAGGCCCTCCCCGCCATGGTCTCTTGTGCTTCCACGCCCACCCGGTGTCCCTGCCCTACTCCCTCCAACAGGACACACCCTCATTCCCTTTGATCAGAGCTCTTGCTCTTCTGGGGTCCTGTTCCCTGCCCTCAGTCTCTTACTGACGGAGCCTCTCATCCTACCGCTGCTGCACTGGTTCTAAGTCTGTATCACCCAGCCCACTGAGCCTTCTGCCGGGTCTGACTTCTCCCCTGACGGCCCTGCCACTACTGTCTGTCTGGTGCTGCTGGACTCCCGCTGCACTCAGCTCTGTGTCATGCAGGCGCCTCCACGTCTGGACCCTGGTGCTGAGAGTTTGTGATCAAACACCTCTGTCTGTGGCTGAGGGCCATTGGCTGTAGATAGTATTTCGTGTTTATTGGCACGAGAAGCTAATTGTGAGAGGAATTTTTAAAAAGGTACAGTTAAGGAATTATTCCACTTTGTTGTCTTACATTATCATTTAGTTCCTTAAACTTTTAAAAAATCATGTCAGCCCTGGCTGGTGTGGCTCAGTCGGAGCGTCGTCCCATAAACGGAAAGGTCGCAGGTTCGCTCCCCAGTCAGGGCACATGCCTGGGCTATGCATTCAGTCCCTGGTTGGTGCAGGTGGGAAGAGGCAGCGACCGATGTTTCTCTCCCTCTCTCTCTCTCTCTCTCTCTCTCTCCTCTCTCTGAAATCAGTTAGCATGTCCTTGGTGAGAATGAAAAAAGAAGTCTTGTCAAGGATACATATTTCAGTTGATTTTACATCATTTTGAACATTTATTTAGGGTAAAAAATAACATTTGTTTCATAATTACGTAGCCGTCCTGGCTGAAATGTAAGGTTTTCAGGTTTTTAACAAAAACTGTGGTGCTAGAACACAGTTGGGTACATGCTGTCATTAGGAGTCCTGCCTTTTCATGTTAATCAGATTTATATTAAAAAGTTCTGAGTCACTCCTTCTAAACTACTGAAACAGTAGCCAAACCTTTCAGTTCCTCGTTCAAGAACTGGGAGCATGAGGACAGTCATGTCCCCAGCTCACGTGTGCTGTCCTGTCCCCGCAGCGACATCGCGGGCATGCTGCTGAAGTCCACGGGGGCCTTTCTGGAGTCCGGCCTGCAGGAGCGCTGCGCCGGGTTTTGGACCGGCGCCGACGACAGCTGCGCTTCGGACGAGATAAGGTGGACGCTGCGTTTTCTTTCCCCTCCCATTTAGTTCTTGATAATGAGCCTGAAGTCAGCTGGACTCGCACCTCGCTGAGTTGTTATACTTGATGAACTTGGGTAATAGACCTAAAAGGGTTTATTTCTGTATTTTCTTTTCATATGGTTCTTTAGGCATGGTTTTGTGGACAGTGACTTAGCCTAATAAAAACAGTGAAATGGCACATAGTTTCAGTTGGCCAGAAACAAGTGGAATAGAATTTATCCACGACTCCCCAGAATGTCTTTAATCGTACCCCTGTAGCAGTCCAGTAATGCCTTTGACACTTGCCGCATGTTTATTGCTGTCGTGGTTAGATTGTCCCTTCTGTTGAGCTTCAGGCTGAAGTGCCTGAAACCATGGCTGACTCTGCTGCGTTTCCTCCGCCTCCGTGCAGAGGTCTTCAGGCTGCAGCGTGTAAAATTGCTGGCCTTGCAGCACGTGCTCAGTCTCAGAGCCGTTTTGTGGCCAGTTCAGCAGCGTCATGGGGCTTGGCCTCAGGCAGTGCTCAGGTGGGACTGGCTTCTCTGGGGCCAGAGTACTTTCTCCCACCATCTGGAGCCTGATGAGAAGCACAGGTTGGGCTTCGGAACACCTGGGATGCTCTCATGCTGCAGATAACGACAGTGGTCACCACAGATTCCCTCCTGGCACAGCACTGAGTGGCTGAGAATCGGAATGAATCACTTGTAGAAGGCCTTGATGCTTTGGGAGCTCGGTGGGGGGGCCACACCAGAAACGGGAGTTCAGGAGCTGAGATGGTGCACCAGTGCACAGACGGCTCAGACGCTCTGGGTGTTCGTCAGGGCGACTCTGAAACTCGGTTCATGCACAGCGGGTGCGGGGGCTGGCTTGTCCTGGGTCCAGGGGCCGCTGGACTGGCCACCTGAGACCCGCTGTGACGGCATCTCAGCACCCCAGTGTCGCAGACACTGCCGTGGACACGATTTCGGGCGGAGCCAGTCATTAAACATCTCCTGGCCGCCAGTGGGTATATAACCTTCTAGTTAGAGTATGAGCCGGGAGCCAGGAGTGTACACTCTAGGACATCACTGTAATGCGCTCTTTGGAAAATTGAGCTTACTGCTATTTGAAGGTTATTAAGTGTGCCCTATGTACTTAGAGAACACAGACACTTTCTGGAAAACTAGGTGGAGCAGCCTGCTGAATATTGCGGATACGTTTCCATTTATAGAATCTTCAGTCTTTATTAACGTGGTTCAGAATTTGCTTCATCTTTATGGTTTCACGTCTGTACTCACGCCCTGCCGCACCCTCACTGGGTCTTGTCCCCCTGCAGGAGGTCGGTCATCGAGATCAGTCGGGCCCTGAAGGAGCTCTTCCACGAGGCCAGGGAGCGGGCCTCCAAAGCCCTGGGGTTCGCTAAAATGCTGAGGAAGGTGAGAGGGCGGACCTCACTGATGCTGTGACTGACTTGTTTTTAAAAAGCCAACTCTAAAGAAGTTTCTTTGTAACTGTGATCCTAGGACCTAGAAGTAGCTGCTGAGTTCACACTTTCAGCTCCAGTTAGAGACCTTCTGGATGTTCTGAAATCAAAACAGTACGTTAAGGTAAATATTTAGTGTGGTATAAGTGAAGTATTTTGTCTTTTTACTTTGCCCTAAAACAGGAAAGCGGTGTCTTAAGGGTCCAGATAGTAAATATTTTGGCTTTCTGGGCTATATGCTGACCCCAGTTATAGGGCTAGAAGACCATGTTTTTCATACTTGACTTATGATATCTTAAGAATACAGGTAGAATAAGCAAATATTCACTCAGATTGTTTATTTTATTAGGTTAGTTTCACATACATAGTTAAAATAATGTGTATAAAGTAATATGCTAGTTTTAAATAGTGGTTTTGTTTTTCACCCTCACATTTCCTAAACACTTTCTGCATGAATTTTGGCGTCCTCGATGTCACTCGGCCACTTTCTGAGTTGCCATCTCTGCTCCCGTTTAAGCTCTTTGAGACTCAGTGTGTTTAGGGTCTTTGGGTGGTGTTGTTACTAGAGGGGAAGCCTGCAGGGTGTGCCGCCCACAGTCATGGGTGACGTGTAGGGCACCGTCACCGTGTGTTCCTTGTGAAAGTGTTTCTTCTGCACCGAGTCAGGCGACGTCCTCTTTCAAAGGCGCCCCCCGCACAGACTCAGCGGGGCTCCGTGTGGAAGGTTTTTGGCCGCCCGCCCGCTGCTGGCTTTGCTGCCTGGGAGCAGCTCCGCTTAAAGACGCCATCGCCAGCTGCCGCGGGTCGAGGTGGTTTCAGGTGGCCTCCCCACCCAGAGAAGCGTTTTCTCTGCTGCTGCAGATCCAGGAGCCAGCGGAGGCCCTGCAGGTGGGGAGCCTCGTGCGGGGTTCTGCTCCGGTCACACGGACGGGACTACCGCGGCCCCTCTGTGCTCTGGTTCAGTGCCTCTACCTCTCCTTCCCCAGACCCGCTTGTGTTTTTCTAGGTTTTTAAAAAAAAATAGTGTTCCTATAATTTATGACATTTCTTATTTCAAGATTTTGGCTCGTTCCGCCCCAGGTACAGATTCCTGGCCTGGAAAACCTGCAGCTGTTCGTTCCGGACACCCTTGCCGAGGAGAAGGGCATCGTGCTGCATTTGCTCAACGCAGCCGCAGGAAAGGACTCCTCCAAGGATGACGTGCTGATCGACGCCTACCTGCTCCTCGCCAAGCCCAGTGACCGTGTGCGGGATGCAGAGGACGGCTGGGCCACGTGGGAAGCCCCGCTGATCAAAATTGTGCCTCAGGTGGAGACTGTGGACACCCTGAGAAGCATGCAGGTGTGCCCCCCTCCCGGGCCCCACCCGCCGCCTCTCCCTCCCTCACTGCTCCTTACGAGAGTTCTTCCAGGGAAAACGGATTCCTAGCAGTTCCCGAGTGGCGGGTTTCACCGCCATGGGCGTCTCAAGCACACATTTCCCCAAAATAGGCCTTGGTGTTGCAGCAGACAGTTTTGTAGCATTGCTTGTGCCAAACATTCTATCTAAGTCTATAAGTATGTTAAATTATACTGGACTATTTGAAATATTTTATTTATCTTTTCTTAGTTCAGCCGTGTCCTTAGGTCTATATACCCATGATCTCAAAGAAATGACCTTACTCATTGAAATTGTAGTTTTACTGGCTACTTAGTTTTCACTTGTGTAGTATAGTCTGTTACCTACCTACCTAGCAGAGTCCCCATCATTATATAACTCACCAGGTAAATTAGCAGCTTCATTAGCAGCTTCCTTGTGTTCTGTGTTCAGGTAGGGGCGGTTTTGGCAAGTGCTTACGGGCCCCCTAAACCCAGCCTGACCGGGCTGAGCCCCTGGCCCATGAATGCAGGTGTGCTCTTTCTGGGTGCACCCCATCTCGGCAAGTGCCACTCAGTCCGCTCAGCTGTCTGAACCAGCATGTGGAGTTAATGTGCGTTCAGCCTCCGACCCTAATCAGCAGCCCAAGCCAGCCCAGAGCGTTTCCAGTCAGTGACCCCGTCTCTGCCTCCCCCGCTGTCCCCACGGTCACCCCACGTCGCCCCTTTCTGGGACTGTCGCAGTGACCCTCCCCCCTTAGCTTCCCTGCTTCAACTCGCACCTTCCTGCCCCTTACTTCTGCAGGTGTTTGTTTTGTTACTTCCAGAATGATCTTTCTAATACGTACATCTGACCACATCACAGATCTGCTCAAACTACTAAAAGAGTAAGAAGGATAAAGTCTGGTTTCCTACAGTTTCAGTTGAGGTCCCCAGCTCACCCCACTCACTGTTGCGTGTGCCACCTGCCGTGCTGCTCCCACACACATTCGCACGCGGCTCCAGGCGAGCTGAGCTGCCTGGAGTGCTGGGGTGGTTCAGGGCGTCATGTGGCTCGGTCCCTGGGACTCGTCGCCACTGTGCCGAAGGCCCCAGACGTCGGTGCCCACTGCAGCGCGTTGTGCAGGGGAGCAGCCTGGCTGGACAGCAGCTTCCTGGTTGGGTGGCTGCCGGCCTGGCAACCCTGAGGTTGGCACTGCTTTCCCATGGGGTCGAAATTGAATGAGGAGGCCGTAACTGTGTCCGGTTTTAGCCCCCACACTCGCTTTCCCTCCAGGTGGATAATCTTCTACTAGTTGTCATGGAGTCTTCTAATCTCGTGATTCAGAGAAAAGCCTTCCAGCAGTCTGTCCAGGGGCTCGTGACGCTGCGTCAGGAGCAGACGTCCAGCCTGCCGGTCATTGCCAAAGCGCTGCAGCAGCTCAAGGTACTTCTTGTCGGCTCGGGCGCAGCTGGTTCGGTCAGGCTCGGAGGCCCTGCTGAGGAGCAGGCGTGCTGTGGTGTGATGCCGTTCAGCTGTCCTCCCCTGCCCCTCTGTGCCCAGGACCGTGTCTCCGAGTCTGAACCAGCGAGTCCCTGGGTCTTCCTGGGGACCGTGGAGCCACAGGGTTAGAAGGGGTGGAGATTTGAAGTTACGTGACTCATAGTGGTCCCATGGTCAGTTAGTAGAAAAGTTGACATTGGAATGTAGGTCTCTTCATTCCAACTTTTTATTCTTCAGCAGTGTATTTACTGGAGGTACTGCAATAACATAGTCTGGAAGAAGATTTGTTTTTTTCTTTCACGTAACCAACACATCAGCCAAGTGAACTGTGATCGCGCCGGTCGTAGGCAGGTGCACGGGCCTCAGAGTTTGCAGCGGGCCAGGGCCAGGCCTTCGCTTCTCCTGAGCTCCCGGGTTCGCCACCTTCTGGGTCCTGCCCCACGTCCCAGGTCCTGCCTCACGTCCCAGGTCCTGCCCCATGTCCCAGCCTTGACCTCATCCACATTGTCCCGCAGGCCGTTGGTCACGTCTTCCCAGTCACGTGAGGCTTGTCTTCTGGGAGAAGAAGCATTTCTCACAGTTACTGGGAGTCCGATGGGCGTGGTTTTCTCCAGTCCCTCTGACTGCTTTTACTCACCTACCAGCGTCACCTCTTTCAGACTGTCCTCCCCTCCAGGACCAGTGCAGGGGACTCTTCCTCATTTAGTGTGAATCAGTGAACTCTGGGGAGTGCAGAACGATAGGTCAGGTGTCAGGAGTGACGCTGGTCGTTCTCAAGCATAAGGAATTTGTAGCCTAAGGACCTGAGTGGTCCCACAAGGTTGTAGGGGCGGGAGAGGTTGCCTGGGAGAGGCAGCACCCAGGACGAGCCAGAGGGGAGGCGTTCCAGCGCAGAGGGTTTCAGAAGCTGCTCCCTGGGAAGGGGCTCCCAGGGGGAACGTGCGGGCGTTGGGGTCCATGGGCCGGGCCAGGGGAATGCTCGCTGAACGTCAGGAAGTCTGGTGGTCTTGGTGTGTACAGTGGAAAGGCGTGGGAAATGAGGCTGATACAATCAGGTGGCGCCATCAGGCTGTGGAGAGATCTTAGATTTTACTCTCTGAGCCTCAGGGAGTTGCTGAAGATTTGGGGAGAGTGTTTTGGAACGATGTGTAAGGGGACCATCTGATGGAGACCATGTGTTCAAAGGGGCATGTTTATGGGTCGGGGGAAAGGAGCCCAGTTTGGGGCTGTTGTCGTATTGCTGAATGAGACAACAAAGCTGGAACTGTTGGCATTTTGGATCAATAATTCCTTGCTCTGTGGAGCTGTCCTGTGTATTGTAGGATGTTTAGCAGTGTCCCTGGCCTCTATGCGACAGGTGAGAGTAGGTGTGACCCTTCCTCCGGTTTTGACAACCAGAAATAACAGTGTGCCCCGAGGGGTGGATGGGATCTAGTTGGGAACCCCAGAACTAGGGGGGGCAGGGGGTCTGGAGGACAGGACAAAATGGTCATGTCCTGGAGCTCATTTATAAGTAAACCGTGAGTGGGCTTGCTGGGCGTGAAACCCTGCTCGCCTTGGAGCAGCCGCCCAGAGCAAGACCGGCTGGCAGTCAGCGTGTGAACTGTTGACAGTCGACACATCTGCTCTGAGACCACATTGCAACTAGGCGTTACCGTTTTACATGGGTTTTTCCCCATTTCATAAGATGTTAAAGAATACCTAGTAAAAATGAAAGTGATACAATTCCTCTGTTTTTGGTCACTCCTTTGGAATAACCAAAATAACCGTGGCTGAGAAATACTGTACTGGTTTATGTCTGTGTGGTGGATGATGAGAGAAAGCTTCCTTTAAAACACGTAAGTGTTGTGTGATTTGCTTCGTTTTGGATTAATTGTGGTTTGGGACTCTTTAGAACGATGCGTTAGAGCTTTGCAACAGAATCGGTGATGCCATTGATCGAGTGGACCACGTGTTCACTTCAGAATTTGACACCGAAGTCGATGAAGCGGAATGTGCCACGTTGCAGCAGTACCACCGAGAAGCAATGATTCAGGGGTACAACTTTGGGTTTGAGGTAGGTGCAGAGCAGGAGGAAAAACACAGCACCACTTAGCAGTTGCCTGGTGAGTCACTTACAGAAGTGCTGATTATTGGTTGCAATCTCAGCTCTGTCAAGAATGTCATCCACGCTGCTGCTGAGTATTGGAAATGCCTGTTGACTTTTAGACTGTCGTGTAGCTGCCAGGTTTTTATTTTGTGGCAATAGCTGTCTACTTATATTTAGAAGCCTTCTTTTAAGAGGTGTTCGATACCATAAAGGCACATTCTTAATTTAAACCTGTGGGTCAGACATTGGTGAAAGTGTTTGAAGACATTGTGTTCTGTTTGTGCTGTTCCCAGAACATGTTGTTTTTAATTGGATTTTGCTTTTTGTTTTTAGAAAAAAGTCATTTTAAACAGATATAGCATTATAGTGTTTGGGTATTTGTATAATCGTTTTCTTAATTTTGATGTACATGAAATTTTACAGTATCATAAAGAAGTTGTTCGCCTGATGTCTGGAGTGTTTAGACAAAAGATTGGAGACAAATACATAAGCTTTGCCCGAAAGTGGATGAATTACGTCCTAACGAAGTGTGAGAGCGGGAGAGGCACCAGACCCCGGTAATGACCCAGTGGGTGTCCTTCCTGAGATGTGTGGGGTGGGCAGGACTTCCGTCTTGTATTTGATGGGTGGGGGGAGCAGGCGACACAAAAAGGAGCACTTTGAAAACTGTTTGGTGGTCTTTTTTTTTTTTTAATTTGTTCCCAGATGATTTATCTTTAAGGGAGTTCACATTCTCCCTGGACAGGTCTTTCTGATTGTTGATGTCCCCCCATGAACTTGAAGCCTGTTATTAGAGAGAGTGCAGGGAAACAGACTGGTAACCATTCTCTTTGTTAACAAGCCATTTGTCTGTCTTTCCCAAAACATGCTGTAGACACACTCAATCCTAGGCGTTTATAGAAAGACAAAAAGTGTGTTCTGTCCTAGATAGTAAATTCCCAATTATATCACTTTTCAGGGCTGTATCCACCAAACTGCTCTGACATTTTCTTGGCTGCTTTGTAATCAGTGAACTTCTTCTTTACAGGTGGGCGACTCAGGGTTTCGACTTTCTGCAGGCCATTGAGCCCGCCTTCATTTCCGGTCTCCCAGAAGATGACTTCCTGGTAGGGAGTATTCTGAAGTTTTTTCCTTTAAAAAATCAACCTGATTATTGTCTGTTCTTGATTGTGTGTTTTTATGCTTAATGGTAGTTTTAAAGTATTTTTTATATAATGGTCACGTTGAGAACTGAGTTGTTAAAAAGCCCAGAGTCATCGAGAGCGTAGGAAGACACGCAGTGCTCTTCTGTGCATTCGATGCGGGCGACCTGACTGGTGCCAGTGCCCGGCTGCACTGTGGCCGGGCCCTCTGAAGGACCTGTCAGGGTCGCCGTCATTAACTGCGGGCTCGGCAGCTGCTTTTTAGCATGTAATAAAGATCAAGGGTGAGCTAGTTCACTTCACAGTGTGTCATTTGAGGGTGTGATATGAAATGTTAAATATTATCACTGTTACTTGAGTAAGTTCCATCAGATCAAAAAGATGATGTTTGAAATGTGAGTGTGTTCATTTTACCTCCAAACGGTGGAGGCGATGACAGGAGCCCCTGCTTGTGCACGTCGTCGAGTGTGGAATGTTGGGTGTGCATCTGCTCTCACTTGCAAAAATGGAGTTGTGCAGTGTTTCAAATTGTGTACTGTGTGTATTTAGTTCTTACTCATGCCCATTTCGTTTTAAACTAACTTTGAAAATATTTACTGAGGGGTAGAACGTTCTTTTAAATACACTGAAAGATTCATTTGTGCTAGTTGTGTAATTGAGAGTGTCCTTTCTGTCTCCTCCTCTCCCGTCTGCTCCGGGTCCTAGAGTTTACAAGCTTTGATGAACGAGTGCATTGGCCACGTGATAGGAAAGCCGCACAGTCCTGTCACAGGTTGGTACCTTGGTAAGGTGGCAGTCCCAGCATTTCTGCCGGAACCTGCAGGCATGGGGGAGCGCCTGCCCTCGTGGTCGCCGTCCCTCCTCGTCGCCGTCCTGTACAGTGGTGTTGCGGTCCTTTAGACTGTTCTCGGAAATGATGGTGACAGGTAGAGGAATGGGGTGCGTACACGTAGCGCGCCAATCTCCAAATCAAGGGAAAGGGGAGGTGCCAGCCCAGGTCTTCATACTGGCCAGCAAGGCTTTTCTTTTCTTTTCTTTTCTTTTCTTTTCTTTTCTTTTCTTTTCTTTTCTTTTCTTTTCTTTTCTTTTCTTTTCTTTTCTTTTCTTTTCTTTTCTTTTCTTTTCTCTTTTCTTTTCTTTTCTTTTTCTTTTCTTTTCTTTTCTTTTTTTTTTTCTTTTTTTTTTTTTGCTTACCTGCACCCACCTGCTCCCTGCCTTGAAGCCTTTCCTTCCTTGAAGCCTTTCCTTTGGGGATGAAAGAGCTGTCTGTTGAGAAGCAAGGGCCCCCTGCCCCTCTCCCTTCGAGGTAAAGGTGTCCTTCTCCACCATTTTCCTAAGTGCCATTCCCTACTGATGCAGTCAGTTTTTTTACGGAAAAAAGAAAATCAAGTTCTGCTGCTGTAATATACTTGAATTACAGTTAATGTGCAGTTTCGCATTGTGTTGGCATTTTAAAATCACGTGTGTCACATGGAAGAGGTTGTGTCTTACCTCAGTCTTTAGATAGTAAAGAAAAGCAAAACGTGTTTATGTATAATAAGCACCCAAATTTGAAAACTTAGAAATTTTAAACAATTTGTTACACAAAATAAAGTAATTCATTAAGCAGCAGATGTGTCTTAAAGGGTAGTTTTTAGCTCCAGAAAGTTGAGTGGATCTGGTTTTATATTTGTTTTTTTTCTCTGTAAAATTCACTGTTTATTTATATCTCTTTTTCTCCAAAAGCATCCATGAAATGACATTATCATTTGCAAAACTATTTTAACATTCCATATAAAACATGCTATATTCTTACCAGATTTTCAATTAAACATATTATAATAAATGACTTTGTGATCTCTTAAAGTATTTCTCTGAGAATACATGACCAACAATTCAGTAAAAATTAGTTTTTTAAAGTACTTTATTACTTAGGGATAATTTTTATTATAGGAAATGGCAGTGTAGAAGAAGCATGTAAAAATATAGAAAATGTACATGTAGGAAAGTTTTCATTGTAGAAAGTACTACAAAAGAAGAAAATTCTTACACTCCCACAGTCCTCAGGCACTCACTGCTCGTGCAGGGCCAATAATCGTTTGCTCCGCCTCTCTCCAAACTGCCAGCGGGACAGTGGGCTCCCTGTAGGTTCAAGGCATGTCCTCTGTCCTTATAGTCACTGTGGAGTGGCGGGGACAGCCCTGCATTGAGGGCCAGATTGCCTGGCCATCCAGTGACCTGGGGCTGCTCACTGAGCACCTGTGAGCCTCCTCTTTTAATGCTGAAAACTGAATGCCAGCGAGGGTGCAGGGAGAGGGCGGCCCTGGGAGGCGGGAGCGCTCTCTGCAGGTAGGGGTCATCATCAGGACGCAGTTCTGCTGCTGGGAGGGAAGGGGGCGAAAGTGCGAGCTGGTCAGCGGTCATTTTTGTCGTCGCTGCCCTTGCCTGCCTCCCTCTGCTCTGCCCCTGCTGCTGATGGTAACGGCCTGCTGCGTGGCCTCCCCCTGTTCTGGACGCTCCAGGGTGTAGTGACACAGATGCTCTGCCCTTCCTTTCTGCTCACATCCTCACACAGCACTCGTAGGGCTGTGTTCCTGCTGTTACTGCATAAAACTGGGATCGCGCTGAATATTCATCCTTGCTTGTCTTACCTGACAGCTGTGGCTGCCTTGTGTCCGCTGTGGGGCCACAGTTCCTCCCGCCACCTCTTCGTGGACATTCATTTTGTTAGTTTTTCCCCTGAAAAATGTCTCTATAATAAATATTCACCACTAGGGAATATCTTGGGTTGGGGAATATCAAGAATAAATATTCACCACTAGGGAAAATGCAAATGGTATATTATTGGCCATTTGCATTTTCCTTTGATGAAGTATCACACTTCTGCAACAGTTAGATGTACATACTCTTAAGTGTTTTGTTTCATCTGTGAAGAATGTTAAACTTGTGTGCTTGTATTTTACCAGAATGTCTCATCCTCATGGGAAAATTTTGTAGTGATTTTGATTCAGTAGTTACCAATGTGTTTGCTGAATTAAAGATATCACCATCTGCACCAAATTATATTTGTTCCTTTTTTCTTTTTGCCTTTGTTATTATTTGATTTATTTGCTTTATTAGTGTAGTAGTTGAGATAATGAGCCAGGGATGAAGATTTCCTAAATTTTTAAAAATACTTCATTTTTTTTTTACAAGTTTTCCCTTCATATTGTTCCACTTTGGGGTGCTCTGTCTTTGTCCTGTTGTAATGTTATTAAAAACAAATAAAAAACATGACGAAGGAAATATTTCCATTTCAGATACAACATTTAGAAACGAAACATATGTAGACTAAAATTGTTAGTACAGGAAGAGAAAATAGGACATTTAAGAAAACTAAGGAGTGGAAAACAAAAGGACTCCCTGTCAGAGAGCAACAGACAGAAGGTGACATGCGTCCATTACTGGTCACACTCCAGTGTTGGACCATTGTCAGCAGTTTTGTAACTAATGAGGTCACTGTTTAAAGTTTCGTCTTAAATTGTATCCATATTTGCCTTGTACCTGACTGTTTAAAAGAAGAGAGGATGAAAACATGGTCTGGGGAAAAAAAATAGCCAGTTCACACTGTGCCCTGTCCTCCTGGTTTGGTTTAAAGGAATGAAGTAGAAGTCCTCGCTCTCAGGAAGGGGACAGCGACCCCTCCCCGGCCCAGGGCCTGTGGACTGTCCTGCCCCGCTCCTGCCCAGACTATGTGCAGTGTAGATACAGCTCTCCTGTCTGTCGGTGGCGCGGCACCGTCTTTGTCTTAGAGATGGCCATGTCGCAGGCTGTCCCAGAAAGGGGTCCTTTCATTTGTTCTGCACACATTGTGTGTGTTTCATCCTGGGACTCAAAAAGCTGGTTTTGACGGAGAAAAGTTTGAATGTGCAGCATAACTGAAAGGTGACGTTTTCCGTGGTGTTTGTGTGTGTCGTATGATTTTCTTCTGGAAGAGGCTTATTTTGGTCACCAGCAGAACTAAGTCACGTCATGTTTTTATTTAATCACCCGGTTTGGCTGTTTCCTAGTGACCCTTTAACAAGTTGCATTTGTTGCCGCTTTCACTGACAGCGATCCATCGGAACAGCCCCCGCCCGGTGAAGGTGCCGCGATGCCACAGCGACCCGCCCAACCCCCACCTCATTATCCCAGCTCCAGAGGGATTCAGGTATTTGGTGCTCACCCTGTCTTTGGTGCTGGGGACCCCTCTGATGTGCATGCTGAACTTTGGAGCCTGCTGGGCGCTTGCTGTGACAACTGCTTTTCCGTGCCCTTATTCACACGTTGTGTAGGAGCTTATATCTGCGTTATCTTGAAGACAAACCACAGTGCCTTAATTGCAAAAAAAAAAAAAAAGGCATGCTCGTCTAAAACAGACTGGTCCCTTTCAAGATAACTTCGTTTCCAGCTTATTTATTACCTGCAGCTACTAAATGCTTTCCAGCCCTGGAGCACCTCTTTTTCTGTCTTTGAAAAATGACCTCAGGGAAGCACACACAGGTGTGCACAGCATAATGAGCATTTGAAAACAGTACTGGACACCAATTTAAAAGTGGCAAAAACTGGGAAGGTCTTTCCAGTCTATCTTGACGCCTGTGTGTGTGTGACCACACGTCAGCTCACTAAAGGGAGTGCAGAGACTCTGCTGTGTTTGAAATACGGACCCTGAGTGTGGTGGCATTTCTGCGTCTTACTGTAGGGGGCGCCTTCTCTCCCCTGGATTATCCCTTTGTAAAGGTCACTTTTACTCAGCAGTATTTGCTAGGAAAGACCACATTTATTTTTAAAATAGAGTTTGAAATTAGGTGTTTTTTTAAAGCAATTTTTCAAACCTAGACCAGAATCTCAGCAAACAGTTTACATTTCATGTTTTAAGATACTTTTCACGTACTCACCGTATTTCATTTTTTACCAAAAACCATGTGCGAGTCTCTCCCCATCTGTCACCTATGTTCCTGAAGCTTTTCTTCTCGCCTTAGCACTCGGAGCGTGCCTTCGGATGTGCGGAGCCACGGGCCCTCCGGCGGCGACTCTGTGCCACCCAAACCCACCAGCAGTGCCCATGACGCCAGGTAGCCTCACTCCGCCAGTGTCCTGCTCCTTGCCCCTCATGTGCACTTCTGCAGTGACCTCGGTTCTGGGGTGTGTCCAGGATACCACCGCAGGGTTTCTTCCCCATGGTGCACAGCCCTTCCTTGGCTCTAGGACCAGCCAGCAAAGTAGATCCTCTGCCTGATTTTAATATTTCTTTGAAGCTGATAGAACCAACATGACTAGGTCTCTGCTAGTAACAAGCGTCTCGGGAGAGTGTCCGGGGAGGGCTGGGCCCCAGCCGGGGAGCTCGGGGAGCTGGGTAGACAGTGCCTTTCCCAAGGCTCAGAGGTGGCTTCTGAGCAGTGCCGTCAGGAGTGTCATTTTTCTAACCAAGCGAGCTGATTCCTGCAAGTGCTGATTGGAAGGAGTTTGTCCAGTGGAAGGGGACGAGCATCCAGGGCTTGTGTCTCACGGAGAGCATCTCGCGACCAGAGAGAGCCAGCAGGAGTCTGGCAGGCTCCAGAAAGCGTCGGGGCCTTCCAGGAAGTCTGTTGTGTTCGTAAGGGAGGTTTTCTGGGTTCCCCCCCTTTTTGCTGGGGGATTTCATCAAGGTCTCCTATGCGTGATCTCGGACATCTGATCCCTTTTAATTCCACCCCCCATCTGGCAGAGGGTCCCTGTGCTCAGCCCCCAGGCAGGGTGTTGCCGGGGTCAAGCAGAAGTTCTGGTGGGGGACTGGTTGGGACAGACAGCGGTGTGGTGGTGGCAGAAGGCGACACAGAACGTAAAACCGACTGAACTGCCTTCGTACTTTACATGGTCTGAAATGTCTGCACACTTTTCCATTTTTTATTCATTAAAATAACTAATATTCCTTGTTTTGGGTGATAAATGTCTATAACATAAAAAATACCAATGAATTTTACAGCTTAAGCATTCAACTAAAAAAAAATTACAGTTTGAAAAAAATTCTCATTTACCCTCTTTACTTTTATGTTTAGAGCATGTTCTGGCCAGTGATCCACATGCTTCCACGTCCCCGTGGGCTTACTGAACTTGCCATACAGAGGGAGAGGGGTGACCCCCGTGACACGCCATCTAGCTGAGGGGCCCACGCTCGGGGACTGTGGCGCCTGCCACTTGCGAGTCCATACGAGGTTCCCCCAGAGCCAGGGCAGGGAGGGCCATCCCAGATTTCGAAGGCCCGTGAGCTGTGTGGTCTCGGATGTGTGTGCAGGCGGCAGTGTGAAACTTGCCTCGCAGGTTTTCAGCATCTCATGCATCCACAATGTGGATAAAGCAGTGGTGCCACCTGGAACCGTGCCTGGCCTGTGGTTGAGTCTTGCTCCCGCATTCAAGCCTCCCATGGGCTCTGTTCACTGCGCCTCAGCCCCCTTCCTGGGCGCCTGTGTGGTGGGCCTGGGAAGACTGTGCATCCCGAAAGTGGAGTCTCCGTGGTTGGTGACGCAGGCCCTGGTTGGTGACTGTGCTGGGAGGAGGCGGGGCGATGCGCGCCCCCCCACTCCGGGTCTGTGTGCAGCCCCTGCCTCGGTGGATCTGCGCTTTGCCCCACAGCAGCCCGTAAATAGCTCCATTTGATTCGCTTCAACTTAGGGAACAGGCTGAGCTTTGGTTACCTTATTGTTTAGGAAACCTGTTTGGCAGCGTTCTCTTGCTGGAGCTTTGATTGGTTGGCAAGAACTGATTGTGAACTTTTTAGAAATTTTGCAAGCCAGTTGCCACACCACAGAAGTTGTCAGACTCGACAACCATTCTTGCACCCACACCCTGAAAGTAGTTACTAAACACTCACCAGCACACGACTTCATTTAAAATGTTTCTCGCCTTTTATCCTAGCAAAGATCTCTGAGGATGTGGCCTCATTTTGTCTCTGGGAAAGAGAGGATGCAAAGGTGTTAAGTGGCTCCTCCGCAGCCCCCATCTCCAGCGGGGCTTAGGAGCAGAGTGTGTTTCTTCATGTTGGCCTCAGGGTTTTTCCACGAAACGGTGCCAGGCTTTTCTGACATGACGATGGAGTACGTGCCCTGTCTCACACTTAGCAAGCAGTGTCCTAGATTTGGGAGTCAGAGAAGCCAGAAGCTCTGCATGCTCCGTGGCCTGTCTGTTCCCGAGACCTTGTTGCCTTAGCCCTGCTCCGTGTGTAGCGGGGAAAGAGCATAAATGCTACCATACTTCACTCGTCATTCATTCGGAAACCTCACACCCGACTTGATCGTGAACTAATGCCATATGCATTTTGGATGATTTGCATTATAATTTTAACACCTCCCTTACTTAATTTTGGTCTTACTCTTTATGAATTCATTCTGGATTGCTGAACAGTTGACTTTGAACTTTTATTCTAGAAAAGCAGCAAATTAACTTGTTCTCTACATGTTAAGCTTCCTGCTCTTCTGCACTTTTGCTTGGCTACTGCTTGAGGAACTGTGAGGTCTTCCCTCCTGTTTTCTTATCAAGAGACTTGAAATCTTTTGAGTTGTATAGTGATTTCAGCACCCTAATATTTAAGTACATAAGTATAATTTGATGGTAATTTGAAATATTAACCAGATTTGGGTGTTTTTCTCCACCCTGGACTGAGGTTATGGAACTCCCCACACATGCCAACACTTCCACAAGTACAGTTTGGTTTCGGGTTTTTAACATAAAACAATGTGTTAAGCAGTCAGGTTTTCGTGGGTTGGCTGTGGGGGGCAAAAACACAACTCCCCTCCTAAACTCCAGGGGAGGGTCTCTCAGAGTCAGCGCTGTTTATCTTGGATGAATAAGTCTCTGTTTGGGGCTGTCCTTTGTGCTGTCCTCTACCCACCGGGGGCCAGCTGTCCTCAGGGACCCTGCTCGCCCTCAGTGGAGAGCCGCCGCTCTGGGGGAGCCTCACAGACCTGCCATCCTGAGCCCCACTGAACTGATAGCTCCGCTTCTACAAATGTCCAAACAGGGGTTCCAGTGTTCCTGAGAATGACCGGCTGGCTTCCATTGCAGCTGAATTGCAGTTTCGGTCCCTGAGCCGCCACTCCAGCCCCACAGAGGAGCGAGACGGTGAGTGATGAAGGTGGCTCCTGTGTCCTTGCTGGCCTCATCGCCGGCCCCCGTCTGCCAGGCGCTTTTGTGAATGACTTGTAAAGGAAGGGTAAGGAGAGGCTGAACCCGTCGGCGCTTTGTGCAGATGCCTCTTAGCTGTGTCTGGTTCCTCGGCTTCCCTGTTTCCTTTAAAAACCAGTACTCGTGACAGTTTCGTGACCAAGCGTTCTCACTCACGTCACAAACACAGAGTCGACTCTGTCTGTGGACGCTCTGCGGTAGTTTCGTCATGACGCAGACCAGAGTGTCTCTGCTCAGGATGCAGGGTGGCCCGAGCTGTGTCACCGCTGGTCCCCAGATTGTCCTGTCTCTGCTCCGTAGTGTGTCGTTTGTTTCCTGTGGGAGGTATTTTGTGATTAGAATTCTGTTAGCCCACAAACAGCTCCTTAGTTCGGTGCGGTATTCTAGAGCTGGTTGGCGAGACAGTGTCTTACACTCACATCAAACTGTAGTCAGTCAGCAGAGAGGACAGGCTGATGGTAACTCACTGTGGCCACTCACCGGCTCAGTCCTGCTCTCAACCGAATGAGCACGTTTATAACGTGTAGCAGTAACATGTACGAAAAACACTTTCTGCAGAACCAGCGTTTCCGAAGGGCGATGTCGGTGGGTCAGCGAGAAGAAGCTGGGAGCTGCGGACACTCATCAGCCAGACGAAGGGTAAGAGAGTGCACCGGGCCTGCGACGTCTGGGCACGAGGGGTGTCAGAGAGGGCGCGCTCCCGCTGTGGGGGTCTGAGCCCCCCATCTGGTGTCCTTGCTGTCCTTGCTTTCTCTCACGCATCTGACCTCACGCTCTGTGTAGGCCACGTCCATGTATGTTTCCTGTGTCTCTCAAGAAATCACAAGCCCCTATGGGTCAGGAGCATGTTTCACTCATTTGTGTTTTTTAAGTACTGAGACAGTGAATTATCTGCGTCACCTTGGGTAGCACCTTTAGCATAATTCTTTGTACACAGTGGGGATGTATTTATAATATGAAGAACTTCAGTTTTTAGGCTGAGAAGTTGAGAGAAAGCATTATCTCACAAAGTAGGTAATCGTCCACCATTCACCAAAAGAGTAACTAGCCTGAAAACCCCCGGTCTGGTCCTTGATGACCTACAGAAGCGTCCGTGCACTTGTCGCCATGGCGTCCTGATCAGTGGGCAGAATAGACCTCACTCTCTGTTCTCAACTGATGCAGGGTTTCTGAGAGGACAGGTCGTTTGGCCATGGCGGTGAGTGACAGAGACTAGAGCATCCCATGCTGTGTCCCAGGCCAGAGCGGTCAGGGTGTCCGGGAGGCCTAAGCTGGCCCTGGAAGGAATGACAGAAGGAGGAACACGTGGAGGCCCTGGGACTAAAGACTGGCCCAGCCCGGGTGGGTCAGAGAGTGCGGGCGTCAGTGAGGTGAGGTTGGACAGGTGTGGGGAGGCCCGATCTCGGCTGGTCTTCAGTGACGGGCCAAGTGGTGGGCCTGTCCCCGAGGGGGTGGCCTCCTCGGAAGCCTTTCCAGCAGTTGGTGTGCCCTGGGCATAGGGAGATGGGAGAGGGGCACGGGGGGTGGGTGCACCTGCACGTCTGAGTGGGGGAGCGAAGGAGGTTGGTAAAAGACGTGCAGCTGCGTGGTGGGAGATCGAGGGCTGAGGCCGGATTCAAAGGGACACAAGCAGGAGACGACTGCGATTCAGCCATGGACAGGCCTGGCAGGGGCTGCATGTCCAGGGCGTGGGCCAGGCGAGTGCGGTGGCTTGAGCCTGGGTGACAGGACAGAGGCTCTCTGTAGTGGCCCACGTGACCAGTGGTTCCCATGGAGACCAGGTCTTTGTGCTGATTTTTGACACACAAACTTGGTGATCAAGTGAACTTGGAAACTGTTGGGAGGGTTGAAGTACTGGAGACAAAATCTCGAGGCGTTTTTACTGTTAGGAAAGAAAAGCCTTTCCCAGAAACACGTGACGGTGGAGTCCTCCGCCGCGTTCAGCGCCGAGGGAAGCTGATGTGTCAGTGGTGGAGACCAGGGAGACCTGTTTCCTTTAAAACGAGGAGTCCCTGGTTGTCAGAACTGATTGTATTAAGAAACTGTCACTGGAACGTTATGAATGTCTGGGAAATTCTCAGCGCAGTCGTCCCGGCCCTCAGTGACCTGTGTCTGCCAGGAACTGCAGGCCCCGAGGTGGGTCTCGGAGTCGCCCCAAGGAGTGCGGGGAGGGAGACGAGTCGAAAGCCGTCCTTGCCAGGTTACGGGGTGTGACCCGCTAGCAGGGTGTCAGATCGGCATTAAAACAATAGCAGGGAGTCTGACTCAGGTGGTGAAGCCGTCATGTTTCATGAAACGGTGGCTCGATGCCCCACGTGGGCAGGTCACGGTAAAATTATTGGAGCAGTGGAGGTGTGGAGCCTGATGGGAAGATGAGGAGCCGGTGGTACTGGCAGGAGAAATTCACTGAGTGTTCCCGAATTCTGGACAGCGGGCCAAACGCTTTTCTGGGACGTGCGTGATTTCATTCCATTGTCACAGCAGCTCTGGGAATTAGGTGTTACTTCCTTCACGTTACACGGTAGGAAGTTGACATCTAGAGAAGTCAGCTCACTTGCCCACTGTCCAGCACCAAGGACATGGTGAGGCTGGGATTTAACTCGAGGCCTCTGGCGCCAGAGCTCTCGCCCTGCGTCACCTGCTGCTCAGGGACAGCTTCCTGGGAGAGGTGCTGTGTTTCAGCCGAGCTACCGTACGGTGGGCTGACCTCACCAGCCCTGGGATGGGGAACCAGTGTTTTAGGCAAACGGAAAAGTGTGGACAAAGGCCTGGAGGTGAGAACCAGTGTGGGGTGCCCCCTAGGGCCTTCTTAGTGTGACTGGCACAGAGCCCATGGCAGGGGAAGACAAGGGGAGCAGCGTCATCAAAGTGACCTGGAAAAGGGGACCGGGGTCCAGTTGGGCAGGACCTTGCATCCCACAGGAAGGGCTTTGGAGGTCCCAGGATCAGATCTCACATTTTAGTGAGAGAGTTCCGGCCAGTATGAGGGGAGTGGAGAGAAGAGAGGCTGGGCAGCTGGGTTGGCACAGCAGCCTGACCACAGCCTGGGGAGAGGGAGCGGTGGAGTCCGCCTGGCCTGGCTTGTGTGGGGGGCACCCCTGTGCGGTGGGCGGCACACCCCAAGGCCGTTAGACTCGGGTAGGGGGCTGTGAGTTACAGGCCATGCGTCTGCGCAGACCATGCAAGCTTTTCGGTGAGGGGTGCCGCAGCGCCCGCTCTGTCATTGTTTGCTGGAACTCAGCCTGCCAACTGGGACTGGGACTCCCAAGTTTCAACTCCCCCTGCAGATTCCGCTTCTAGACAAGGACCCATGGAAGCTGTCCAGAAGTCAGTCCGACTCTTTGAAGAAAAGCGGTATCGAGAAATGAGGAGAAAGAATATCATTGGTCAAGTGTGCGACACCCCCAAATCTTACGACAACGTCATGCATGTTGGCCTGAGGAAGGTGACCTTCAAGTGGCAGAGAGGAAATAAGATTGGTAAGGAAGTGAAGGAACACGAGGCAAAGATCATCTCTGTTAAAACAGCAACAGTTACACTTATTTAGGTTAAAAGTGATATCGTTGGACCTTTTCTCGTAAACATGTGGCAGAACCCCTCATCTTTTGCAGACGGTTCAGGGTTTTTGCTGCTGTTATTTGCTTCATTTGTAAAATGTGTTCTGAGGGTGAACAAAATGAGGTTTTAGAAGGAGATTTTTTTAAGTGGTTCATTGAGTTGAGTAGTTTTACTTGATGGCTCCAGAAGTCGCCCTCAGGGAGCCACGTAAATCGTACCCGTTTGCTGACATCTGTGTCCCCTGGTCTTCTCCCCACAAGCACACACTGAAGGGAAACTGGATACAGATAAAGACAGGACAGTCTTTTCTAAAGCACTGCCCTGCCCAGGTCCTGTGAGACACTGGAGGTAGATTGTGGGAGGGAGGGAGCCTCCCCCCCCCCCCCGTTCGCATGCATTTGATGGTGATTTTAAATATTTGTGAACATTTGGGCCTGAAGAGGCCAACACAGCTGTGACGTAGGGCTCTGTGAGCTTCAGGAAACCGGAACTTTCTTGCAGACACAAAATGCTGGAAACAGTGAAGTCCTTTTTAATTGTATCAGTTGTTATCTGTCTTACTCAGCCATCTTCCCCCTTAGTTTAATGTTCCCTGAAGGTGTGTTAGTAGACTGTCCCCCCACACGCTCCTGACCTGAAGCAGTGAGGTCAGTTAGCCGGTGGCCAAGCTTCCTCCTGGACACTCCCTTTGCCCACCCCCATGGCCACCTCTCCCCTCCCCCGCCCTCCCGGCCCAGGCCTCCGCCAGGGCCACGGGGCTGTGAAGTGCACGCCAGGATGCCCAGTGCTCACCTGCACACACGCCTCTTCTGTGACTTCCCGAAGCCACTTCGGCTCCGTTTGTATACATTTACAGTGAAGAGATTGCCTGAGTCCCCGGGTAGTAGGGAACGTTCGGAAGTGCTTTGGGTCTCGCAGTGGTCAGCCTCATCAGTGTAATCACAGAGCAGAAGCACAGCCCCGGAACGGGAGGGCGAGCTATGCGGGAGGGCCTTAGAGCGGCCTGGCGTGGTGACCGTGCGCTGCGTGTGTTCTCGCAGGCGAAGGGCAGTATGGGAAGGTCTACACCTGCATCAGCGTGGACACGGGCGAGCTGATGGCCATGAAGGAGGTGAGTGGGCTGGCCCTCCGTGGACAGGGAGCTGGTATAGAAGCTGGTGTTGACGAGGTTCTCAGGGCACAGGGCTGCTGCAGCATGGTGCCTTTTTTCCCCCCAACACTGAATTTTTTATTGGTTTATTATAAAGAGGAATAGAACTATTGATTTGTTGTTCCAAGTATTTATGCATTGACCAATTCTTGTATGTGCCCTGACTGGGGATTGAACCTGCAACCTTGGTGCATTGGGACGATGCTCTAACCAACTGAGCCACCCAGCCGGGCATGTGCTTCGCACTGTAGTGAGCCATCTGAGGCTGCACTTTAGTGTTTGTACTGTTGAGGCCAGTCTCGGGCACATCCCCTGAGGGGCTGAGAGAGGAAAGGAATTCATGGCCAGAGAGAAAAGGGCCAGGAACCCAAGTGGTCCCCCCTCCGTGCGGGTGTGGTCAGCACCATGGAGAGGGACACAGGCGTGGAGCTTGGTGAAGGCCTAGAGGATGTGGAAGACGGCATCTTCGGGGGGGGGGGGGGGGGTCTTTGGGGGAGAAGGGAACATTCGTGGTCCACTTCAGAGACGACAGTGTTTTCATAGCTGGAGGTAAAGTGCGAAGAACAGGGGCAGCCTGAGGAAGGCCTGTCAAGGAAACCAAGGCTGTTGTCACTGAGAAGGAGGCACCTCGAGGCTCAGAAGCGGGGGACAGAAGAGGGGCAGTGGAGGAAGAGGCTGGAGCTGCTCCGCCTGCTGGCGCCGCCAGCAGCTCTGCACACGCCAGACACACGCGGCGCTCGGCTGACGACCTGGGGCCCAGGCGCCTGCAGTGTCTCTTGTCCGTCCTGACGGGCACCTCCCACCCTGCTTTGATGGCCTCCTTCTAGCCTCCTGGCTGTCAGCTTCCAGGGAAGAATTTCGTCTCAGCTCGTTATCTCGCCAAGAACCTGGGCAGTGGTGATTGCTTCCTGGGTGTTCAGGGTGTGTGCTGATTCAGTTGGCAGTTATGAAATGGTCCCGTTAGTGTGATCTCACCAACCACTCTGAAACAGGCTTAATTTGCTTGAAACCACAAAGGAAAGACAGACGGCTTGGGAGTAGAGGCACGGACACACCAGCAGCAGACACGGGGCACATGTTGGGACACGGCTGTGCCGCCTCGTGTTCAAATGTCCTGTTGCTAGTGTGCGGCAGTGATGAACAGTTTGCCTGTTACAGATTCGATTCCAGCCTAATGACCATAAAACCATCAAGGAAACCGCGGACGAGCTGAAGATATTCGAGGGCATCAAGCACCCCAATCTGGTCCGGTATTTTGGCGTGGAGTTGCACAGGGTAAGGCTCCGGGCGAGCGGTCGGGGAGGCCCGCCCACGCCACTGGGGAGTAACTTGGCCTAGTTGTAGGACCTCTCCATGAACCGCGCAGCCCTGCCCCCCGAGACTGGAGGGCTCTTCCTGAAGTGTGAGTGGGGGTTAGGGCTGCTCCCCCACACCACAGAGCACTGACACCCACCCTACCACCAGAGGGTCTTCCAGAAGGCCCCGCCCTGCTCCTCCTCCCTTTTCCCTCTGGTTCCGGCCGAGCCACTCACTGCCAGGTGTGCTGTGAGGCGAGACCGCTTGTGCTCGTGTGCATGTTTGGGAACCGTGGTGAAATGAGAGGGTTAGGCCCTCCATCTCATTGGCCCTCTTGGGTTCAGAGCAAAACAAACAGTGGGGGAAAGAGGAGGACTTGAGCTTCTGGGGAGGGTGGGCTGTGGCGACTGTTACTGCCTTCACCCTGTAACTCGTAGGTTTTGGCCCTTGCCACCGCATGTGTAGGGAGACCCCACGGTGGACTCTACTGTGGAGGGTGGTGGGCACTGACCAGCTGTGCAGCCCCAGGCAGGAGGCTGGCAGCCCATGCTGGCGGCGAGTCAGAGACGCCTCCGGTGAGGCCGCTTTGTGTCAGGACAACAGTGTAGCTGACCGCTAGACAGGTGGTCCCGGTGGGCACGACCTGTGGCACCCCCTGGTGCCGGCCCTGGGCGTGCACATGACCGCGCTGGTCCCCGTAGGAGGAGATGTACATTTTCATGGAGTACTGTGACGAGGGCACTCTGGAGGAGGTGTCCAGGCTGGGCCTCCAGGAGCACGTCATCCGGCTGTACTCCAAGCAAATCACTGTGGCCATCAACGTCCTCCATGAGCACGGCATCGTTCACCGCGACATTAAAGGTAATCCCAGTTACCTCACTGCCACGGGCCAGAGGTGACCCTGGGGCCCCACGTGCAGCAGGTGTGGCCAGGGTGCTCAGTCCCCCTCCCACACAGTGTTTCTCTAGTGGGAAGTGCCTACCTCCGATACTCTTCCCTGACCTCTGATACTCTTCCCCAACCTCCGATACTCTTCCCCGAGGGGCCTGTCTGGAGAAGCCGTGCGGCACACGTGGCTCCACCTGTGTGGAGCAGCAGGTCGGCCTTGTCTTTCTCTTGTGACATCAGAAGTGCACATGGCCTTCACAGGGTGTCTCAGCCGGCCCTGTGTGTTTAGTAGACGGTCACGGTCTTCCCGTGCAAGACCGTGCTGTTTGTGTATGAACGCCATGAGCGCATGAAGTGACCGTGAGCCAGAAATGCTGGAGGAAGTCCTGATGGGCATCTCATCGTGTGGCCACTTGTCTAGTTCAGGTGGCTCATTGCCACCAGCCTCGTCCAGACTGATAGGTTCCCGTAGGTGGGTTTCAGAGCTCCCACTGCTTCCCAGCACGAGGGCAGTAGCCATGCTTCTGCCTCGGAATTGCCCCTCGTGCCTTCGCCTTAACCGCTCCCATACCGTGGTCCTGACCTTTGGGTCTGGGCGTCTCAGGGATAATTAGAGCAACAAATCATCTTTGTCTCCAATTGGCCCTCGACTGGAGGGTCCCATTCCGTCACACAGCTTGTGGCCAGCCTGAACACGTTCCCTTGGGACTTGGCCAGATTGCCGCCAGGCAGCAGACGCACTGATGGGCTGGGTTCCGCAGCACCCGCGGTGGCCTGCGTGTGGGACTCGCCCACGCCCCTGCGTCTGCAGCCCACGCGGCCTTGCCACCCGCCCGCCCACCTCCACCTGGCTCTTTTGTCGGGGGTCGTGTGTTTGATCGGCTCTTGGCCAGGCCTTGGAATTGCCCGTCTCCAGTTCTGCCACAAATACCACACTCGGTTTCTGTCTGTTGTCATGAAATGGCACCTTCATGGCATTGGCAATGGCCATAAAGAGAATCCCTCAGAGTCCTTGAATCAAGTCTGTTCCCTTGCGTCCTTGGACACTCATTAATTTAGCATGGCTGAGGATGTGCATGGGTGCACCAGCTGCAGATGACGAAGTCACCCTGGGGTCCCCCTGGGGAACCACCTGCGCTGGGAGCATGAGCCGTGATGCTCAACTCTTGCAGCACAGCCCCTCATGTGGCTGCTCCACATCGCTTTTGGAAAGAGGTGCCTGGGACATAGAGACCCGGGATGAGTGGCCCGGCAGGACAGGTGCCATAGCCCTGGTGCACGGCAGTCTCAGGCTCCAGTGGCTCACAGGCAGGGCAGGTGGGTGCTTGTGGGACTCGGGGACAGTCACAGGACACTCGCCAGCCCGTTTGAAGTTGGTGGCACCTTGGCGTGGTGCTGAGGGGCAGCGCCTGCTAGTCCTCCCCACTGCGCTGCTTCCTGCTCTGAGGTCGTGACGGCTGCCACTGGCCTCCGAGGGCTGCCACCACGGGTGGCCAGGTGTCCGCCAGGAGAGTCTCTGGGTTCCAGCGTCGGCATTTGTGCCTGTGCCTCAGTTCAGAGATTGGTCCACATAATCTGCACTGATGTTGAAGTGCCTTTGTTCTGTGTTAATATTTGTGAGTAAAGCTTAAAATCTTTATGCTTACGTTTTGTTCGAGCTTCGCCAAGTCCTGCATTGCTTGTTTGTCGTTTGTCCGTGTGAACCTCAAAGCACCCATGTGGGGTTTCGGAGGCTCACAACTGCCCCCTTCTCACTAGGTGCCAACATCTTCCTCACCTCCTCGGGGCTGATCAAACTGGGAGATTTCGGGTGCTCAGTGAAGCTCAAAAACAACGCACAGACCATGCCTGGTGAAGTGAACAGCACCCTGGGGACCGCAGGTGGGTGCTGGCTGCCTCTGTCCTGCACTGACCGCTTTCCGGGCACGGGGCTTCCCTTTGCCTCTCCGGCAGCACAGATCTGCCTGCGGCCTGGCTCTGACCCGCCGTGTACCACGCAGGTCTGCAGGCACCAGGCGTCGTCCTGCGAGTCCTGGTCAGATCGGGACGCTGAGTTTCCCCCGGAGTGCAGGCAGGAGGGAAGACCTGGTCCTTTCCCGAGAGAAACCGTTTCTCCCCCTGGGTCACTCGGACCGGCCCAGTCAGAACGACGCTGTATTCTCATTGTTCAGTGTCAGACCGCTACACCCCCCTTCCAGGTTCAGTTCGTATTTCCACTGCGAATGCAGTTTATCTGAAGGTTTGCCCATTCAAAACTCAGAGGATATAATTTGACCCCTGAAATGTCCATTTGAGAAACTGATTTGAAATACCTGTCTTCCAGTTTCCCTCCTTCCTGTCATGTAATTCAGAAAAAGCTCCCCCCCGGACATGCTGCTGTTTTTCTGTGTGGAAACTGTACTATTGCCTGGCTCTGACGGGTGCTGGGTTGACAAACTGTTCCATCCCCCATTTGTGACTTTTACAGCGTACATGGCTCCGGAAGTCATCACTCGCGCGAAAGGCGAAGGTCACGGGCGTGCGGCCGACATTTGGAGTCTGGGGTGTGTGGTCATAGAGATGGTGACAGGCAAGGTAAGCAGAGCCCACGGGGGAGGGACTTCAGGAGGCGCCTGCGTGCACAGGGCGTGACCGGGGGGTCATCGTCAGGAACGCTGTGGGTGCAGCTTCTGCTGGGGACCGTGGCTAGAGATGAAAAATGGGACCTGTTACACACAGGACACCCAGCCCCTCGTGACAATGAGGAATCAGGTATTTGTCAGACATGTCACAGAACTCTAAAAAGTGAGTAAGGACACGAAGCTTGAATGAAAACGTGGAGAAGCAAGCAGCTACGAAGAGAAATGAAGGTGGGAGCTTGTGTCGCACCAGAACCGGCACAGGAGTCACCGGGATTCTCGACCGTCGCACGCGGAGGCAGCTGCCCTGCGGCGGCCTCTCCCACAGCACTGGCCCGGTGGCGCTCCGCCTGACGGAGTGTCACGCGGCGGTAGAACGCGCCCTGTCAAGCTGGGGTCGGGGGGCTGCAGAGCGTGGTGCTGAGTGGAGGAGGCTGTCTAAAACGGCCGCACACTGGTCTGGCCCCCCCCACCCCCACTGCAGGACACCCGTCCCAGGGGACGCCCATGGTTACCCGGGCTTGGGGCAGGCAGGGAAGCTCTCCTGTGATTACTGTACCTGAAAGTCCCTTCTGCTGAAGGGACGGTTAACGGAAAGTTCCACAGGTGTGCAGAGGCCGTGTGCGGGTGTAGCGTCATTTATAACATGGAAGTATTAGGAACCTCTTAGGTGCGTGAGTAGAGAGTTAAATCAACACACAGCTGTATCTGCAGCTGCTGAAGAAGACCGCACGTCAGTGTCGGTGGGGGTTAGCTACTGTTGCTCCAGTCCACATTCCCGAGAGGGATGGCCTCAGGGTCTGTCATTTGGGCCGGGCTGGCGTCGGAGCGAGAACAGGTTCTCGTGCATCCCGGTAAACAGCGGTGCGAGGATTGGGGTGCCACCCTGGTTCTCTTCCCCACGAGTCTCGTTGTTCCTGTGTTCCTAGTAAAGCTTCGCAGTAACAGAATGTGGTGCTCATTACTCAACAAGGCAGCGTATTACACGCCCCTAGAGTTAGCTGTCGAGTGTCCTTTTATTGGCACTTCCACCCCGCTTTCTGGGTTACATTTTTATTTGCATGGTGGTGGCATCTACGCGGTGCTGGACTGACCTGATCCCAGACGGGGCGGGCAGGCTGTGCCACGTCCTGGCGGTGCCACGTCTGCGTGGGGTACCTAGAGCTTTACTGGGCCGTGGTCAGAGTGGTCTAAGGCACTGTCCTGATGTAGTGGGACAGTGAGAGAGCTGGGGCAAGACCACGTGGCCTGAAAGCCTAAGTACTTCCTGTCAGACCCTTCAGGTCAAAGTCTGCCTGCCCCTGACGTCGCGATGCCTCTGTGGCCCTGCAGCGTTACAGCCTGGTGTCTTTCTCTTCTTCAGAGGCCTTGGCATGAATATGAGCACAACTTCCAGATCATGTATAAGGTGGGGATGGGGCATAAGCCCCCCATCCCCGACAGGCTGAGCCCAGAAGGGAAGGACTTCCTCTCTCACTGCCTGGAGAGTGAGCCCGGGATGCGGTGGACTGCCAGCCAGCTCCTCGACCACCCCTTCGTCAAGGTGCGATGGGTGGCGGCGCGTGGAGGTTCGGAACCTGCACCTGAAGCAGAGAGGAATGCTTGTTTCCGCCGGGGGGTTTTCTCCATGGTTTTTTCCCTGGAAAACGTTCACTGTGGTTCTCCAGCTTGATCCATTTGGGTGGTGGTGAGGGTGCCCTCGGGCCAGCTGAATGGAATGCTAAGCAATGGACTGGGGGAAAGCCACTTCTCCTCTGAGAGTAAAAGCTGGTGATGACTGGTCCCCGCTGAGCCTGTGGGGACAGGGCGCACGCTGACGGAGTGCTCCGTGTGGGCTGGGATATTGGCGCATGCGTCTTTTCGGGTCAGGTGAGCCCACGTCACTTTCTCCAGAGCGCGCGGTGAGCTCTCTGGGAGGGGTTAGCCGAGGCAGGAAGGGGTGTGGGGCGTAGCGGACAATGAGAGACACGTGGAGGGCTCACCGCACAGGCTCAGACCATCCTGGAACTGGCATGGGTGCTATGGCTGGGTGCTCACGAAGTGCAGGATTGGGGAGTGTAAAGGGGAGACTGGGCAAGTGGCAGGGCCGCCGGGAGGAATTGTAGCTTTCGGAGGTGGGACGTGACCGAACGGTGTTCTAGAGCTATCCTTCCGGAGGCAGGAGTCCAATCAGGAAGCTGCTGGTAGAGCTAATGGGGTGGGAGTGGGGGTCAGGTGTGGGTCACTGGTGATATTTGGAGGTCAGCGGCCATGAGAGCTCACCTGGAAGTGAGTGTAGGGGTGGGGTCTCAGCTGGTGCCCAGACGCTTGGCTGGGGTCACCAGGTTACAGGAAGTCCCCACGGTGCAGAGGCCTGCTGGCCAGCGGCCGGGTGGGAGAGATGAGGTGGGTTTGGGACAGCTGCTTGGGGGTGCCAGCGGGCGTTGGGTACTTTGGGCTGGCACTGGAGAGAATTGGGGCAGGGTACAGATTCACAGATTCGGGGACAGGGAGTTGCTGGGTGAGCGTTTAGGGAGAGAGGCTGTGAGGGCGGGGCTGTGGAGGGGACGGAGTCCCTGGACCTGCGCAGGGTGGGTCACGGTGAAAACATGGGTCTGCCCTGGAAAGCAGATGCACGGTCTGTGTTGACCTGCTGCCGCCCAGGTGCCCTCAGCAGGGCTCTCTGCCATCGCTCCTGGGGCAGTGACTCGGCACCAGCAGGAGTCCTCGTGTTGGTGAAGCCCACCCCGCGCACCAGACGCTGGGTGGGGGACATGGGACACGCCGGGGTGCTCACCTGTCTGCCCGCCTTCCCTGCAGGTGTGCACAGATGAGGAGTGAGGCGGGCCGGCCGCGGCCCAGGAGTGGCACCGCAGGGCATCTCCCAACTACTGCTGTACGTGGGGTTTCCACGACGACCGCTGGGAGCCGCGGGGCCGCGGGGCCGCGGGGCCTCCGCCGTCCAGGACTGCAGACTGCGTAAGTGGCCGGCTCACGTCTCCTGCTGCTCCTGTGTGTGTGGCCTGGCGCGGGCCTCTTGGTGACAGTGCCCTCGCGGTAACGAAGCTACGTGTTAAGTGCCATTTCTACTGTACACGGACCGTCGCTTCCGTCACCCCTGAGACCAGTGACATCAGTGTGGTGTTTGGAGCTTTCGAGGTTCCAAGCCGCCACCGTGGCATCCGGCGTTCTGGCCTCCTCCCCCTCCTGTCTGTCGAGTGCACTGTGAAGCCTCCCTGTTCTCATTGTCGTCAGCACGCCGCGGGTTTGTCACGCAGAAGGCGGATTCATGCAGTTTAAGGAAAAGGTTCTTTTTTCAATAAATGGTTTATTTTAGGAAAGCGCAGTTACATTGTTTTTTTGTGGTTGTCAGCTTCAGGGCCACCATGACCCGACCCAGGCTGCTCCCTTCAGGGCCGTGTTCTCCGGGTGGAAGGGGCACCGTGGGGGCGGAGGGGGGGGGCGCCGGGCGAGGAGCGTCTCTGGGAGGGAGAGGTGAGAGGGACACCAGTGCCTGGGACGGGCGGAGGGTTGGAGGGGGCATTCTGTTGGCCAGCAAGTGGGCAGTGGGTAGACGTGCTGGCCTCGCTGCCCCGTGCTGGGGCTCAGGTGACCTCCCTTGCAGTGAAGGCGCGAGGCCGGGGTAAAACCGCGCAGAGAGCTTCACGGCCGGAGGGCGGCTGTTCAGAAGGTAGGAGCTTGCGTTATCTGTCATCGGGGTGGTCTTTGACTTCTCTTTAAAGCAGGTCATTAACTTTCCTGGGACCTGTTCAGAAGATCGTCGACTTCCTCCTTCCACGTGGCAGCTGACTCTCTGGGCAAGTCATCGCTTGGGCAGGCTCTCTGTCCACCTTCCCCAGGGGTCAGCGCCCAGAGGACACTGGCATCACAGGCTCATACAGACTCTTAGAATGTTCTGTGTTATTTCAGTTTTTTTAAACAGCTTTTAAGGCATAATTTACATAATGTTTGAAGTGGCCATTGGATGGTTTTCAATGTAGTTCCCATCGCACAACCGCCTTCTTCACAGTCTGTCTTGGACCACGTCCATCAGCCACAGAAACCCCCGTCCACGTGCTCGCCCCCACCCCCACCCGGCCGTGGGCACCCCTGAGCCGTTTCTGTCTCGGCGGAAACACACCTCCTCTGGACGTTCCAGGTAAGTGGGCTTTGGCAGCAGGTGGCCTTGTGTGTCTGCCCATCGCCTGCGCCATCTCTGAGGCTCGTTTGCTGCGGTATGTGCCAGTGCCCACTCCTCTCCGTCGCCGAGCGCCAGCCCCGCACTCGGACGGCCGCCCGTCTCATCTCTCCACTTCCTGCTGCCTCCTCACGGGCTTCACGAAGAGCCCTGCTCCGAGCGCCCAGGCAGGAGTCTCTGCGTAGACCTGCTCGCGTTTCTCTCGGGAGTGGGACTGCGGGTCCTGTCGGAGGTTTGTGTTGAGGGTTTAGGAAATATTTCCAAAGTGGCTGCGCGACCCGCATTCCCAGGAGCCAGAGCCCGGCCCTGTCCTGGCGGTGGCGTCCTCTGGTGGGAGCCCATGCTGTCTGTGGAGGGCACCTGGGGGCGGCTCCACTCCACATCTCCCTGACAGCTTGTTTGCCTTCCTGGGTGAGATGTCGGTTTGAACCTCTAGCCCGTCTTTTACGTGGGTTGTCTGTCCGGTGGTCGAGGGGAGAGAAAATTGGATGTATTCTGTATGCAGGGCCTTCCCTGGGTGTGTGGCTTGCTGATGCGTTTTCTCAGCCTGCGGTTTGTCCTTCACTTTCTCTGTGGCGTCTCGGCGGTCTGGTCCATGGCCCACCCCAGAGCGCCTCTCCTCTCGGGTGCGGGGAGTCAGCCCGCCACAGAGAGGGCTGCACTGCCCTTGTGGAGCACAGAGCCGGGGCCTCAGGGCTGCCACTGGCACCTCCTCCCCACCTCCGTCCATGTTCAGGACTGAGGTCAAAGCCTTTGCAGGGCGGGACCCACTCTGCCTGGGGACCAGCAGGGCCCTGGCCCGCCCACTGCGCCAGGAGAGCAGCCAGAGGCTGCCGGGCCGTCCATCCGCCCGTCTCATTGCCTGCCCCACTTCAGCTGGACAGTTGTCACAGGGTTTTACACCTCAGTCTGTTTGTTTTTCCATCGCACTTGGGACTGTATTAGAAAAACGCTTTAAAGTTTTTCTTAAAACATCAGTAGCTACTCTTACAGGGTTTTCCATGCATTTATTCAGAGAATACAGTGGTCTAGAGCTTCTCCTGCGGTGCAACTGCGTGACCATGTGAAAAGCTGTGTTTTCCCTGCAGACATAAACGTGGCCGTCTGACCCCAGGGGCACCAGTTCTTCTCCGAGGTTATTCATGCCGAGTCAGCGGCCAGGGTCAGTCCGTGGTCCCCAGGCTCACTCACGCCCTGTCTCACTCGGCTGCTGCTTTTCAACGAGGTCACTGGGGGAGTGCGTGAGTGCGTGGAGCTGCCAGCCCCAGTGCCTCGGGTGGGGGGGGGCCTGGGATGGGCCCTGCGCTCCGACCCGTCACACAGGGTGTGTGTGTCTGCCCCCCGGGGGTGCGTGTCTCTGCGTGTCGTGGGGCTGGCCGGCCTGAGCTGTGAGACGGCAGGAAACGGCACGGCTGGGGAGCTTGGATTGTGCTGCACCGCTGGGGGGGCCCGGGCTCTGCAGAGGCCTGTGCCGTATCTGCCCTTGTGGGGGCAGAAGGACAGCCGGGTCCCCACCTGCCTAACAGAATGCTTCTAGAGGGACGGGCCACAGAATTAAAAAGTGCTCAGGACCCTGCCCCAGTGCCCCACATTGTCTCGTTGTCTAAGGCTTTTCGAGAAGCGCCGAGTCGCTCTTCCCCAGGAGACCCGTCTGCCCTCTGCCGTCCTCGTCCCTGGACGAGGCTGGGGCATCGTGTGTGGGCGTGCGTGGGTCTCTCGCTGTTCCGTTTTGTCTGGCTGAGCCCACTCGGGGAAAAGCAAGGGGTCAGTGGACCCCTTTCACCACCCGGCAGTGGGAGCAGAGCGTGTGGTTGGGATGTAGACTGCACTGTGTCCAACAGGAGGACGGCCGCAAGGAAAATGGCGCGTTTTTTGAGGCTTGGAGGTAATTGTGGTCATTTTGGGAAGTGGCACCCTGGAGGTGGCCTCTTATCCTCACCTGTCGTGGGCTAGGGTCCTGAAGTGCGTGTGCACAGGTGGCCCAGCTTCCCCCAGACCGACTGTGGGGCGGGCGTCATCCCCATTCTGCAGGCAGCGGGGCCAAGGCCTTGTTCCAAGCCCCTCCCCTGGGGGTGGGGGTGCAGCTCAGCGTGGCCGACACCCTCACGCCTCACTGGGGGTCCCCGAGGTGGAACAGCCTCGCCTCTGAGTGTGAGGCAGCCACAGGGTGCAGACCTCGGCTGCCCTGGGGCCGCTCCCAGGCTTCTGGCCCTGCATCTGTCCTGTGTGCTTTGTGGAAGGCTGCATCTGGACCGGGCCACCACCTCACACAGGAGGTGACCCTGCCTTTGGGGACTCTAGCAAGTGTCCGGCTCAGGCCCTGGCCTCACTGACAGCCCCTCCCACAGCACAGCCAGAACTGGTGTTTCACGACAGTGACCCGCCCGTCCTGAACTGACATGGAGCTCCTTGCTTGGCTGCACTGGGGAGACTGCAGCCCTCGTCCCCCGGGCCTGTGACAGACACGCGTGCACCTGAAAGCACAGCACTGAGTGGAAGACGCCTGTAAACACGGCCACCCCACCAGCTGTCGTGTGCGTGTTCCTCCCTCCTCCCCCAGCTCGGCGGACGGGCCTGTCCTGGATGCAGGTGCTCAGGGGACAGGCCCCTCCCGTCAGCCCCCGTGAGTCCTAGTGCCTCTCGGTCAGAGGACCCTGTCCCGACCCTACTGCCCTCTGGGATGTGGCTGCTCTGCTTTCTTGGTTTGCATTTGGCGTCTGTCGACCGCAGCAGTTTGCAGAAGTCCTGCATGTGGACCGTTCTCCAGAGACCAAGGGCCACAGTGCAGACATCTGGGCTTCCTTCCAGGAGGAAAGCAGCAGCCCAGGGCCCCAGTCCCCAGTGCCCAGTCCCCGTGCTGGGGAGCACCTGGAGGGCCCTGCATGTGCAAGGGGGCGGTCTGCGTTGTGTTGGTGCGCGCTGCGTCTGCTTGCTGCCTGGACCAGGACCAGCTCTCCGACGGCCGCAGAGAGCCCGGGCTTCAGGGTCAGGCTCTGCAGGGCGCTGGGCAAGTCTCTGAGGCTTAGGGAGGGAGACCCCACAGCAGGGAGACTGGGAAGACCAAAGCTGCCTTACAGGGGCCGCCACTGCCCACCACAGGGACTGCCCAGCCACCACCCAGCACCTGCTGTCAGTGGTCGGCCCTCTGCAGGCGGAGCCCTCCCTCTGCCGGAGCCCTCCTGGCGAGCCCCCAGACCCCACGGTGAGGGCAGAGCAGAAGGGGCGGGTCTGCGTGTGCACACACCATGGAGGAGCCGGACACTTTAATTCTGTGTTTTCGAGGCATAATTTAGTCATCTCACCTACAGCGCCTTTCTCTCTCTGGCAGTCAGGGTTACAGGAGACAGTGCTGAAGGAAGCAGGGGACAGTCTCCTCACTCCCACCCCTGCCCCCGCCCCCCCGTACCACACCCGCGTCAGTGATCACAAGGCCAGGCTCGCTCGGAGCCACACGTCAGCCTCACCGCGCTGTGTTCTTTCTCACACACACACACGCACACACGCACTCTCGCAGAAAGAAAGAACTGGAACCCACGAGAGCGAGGGGAGAAGAAGAGGTTTAAGCCCATCTCCAGCCCCGTTCGGCGGCATTGAGACCAAACTCCCTGCCCCCAGTGGGGGCTCCCCCAGCGAGGTTGCTGGGCCCCACCGAGGAAGACAGGCCGTGCCCACCAGTTCCCCAAGGTCCCCTCGGACAGACAGGACGCGTCCTGAGTCAGTTGTCGTGTTTCTGCCTGCTGTCCCCGTCGCCATAGGCCGAGCCCTTGTCGATCTCCGTCACGCCGATCATCCATCGGACCCCCACGGAAGCTGCGGAAACGGGAAGGGCGGGGCGTTAGGAGGAGCCGCAGGGCCCTGGTGGGCAGCCGAGTCCCGCAGAAGGCAGCTGTCTGCGCATCAGTCTCAGGCACCAGGGGGGAGCCGGCAGGCCTGGGTACGCAGCTACCTGCACCTGGGGCCCAGGTCTCACTGGGCTGGCGACATCGAGAGGAACAGTGAGGCTGTTCGGCTGGCTGGCCTGACCCCTTCAACACCAGCCAGGGAACAGACCTCGGTGAAGCCCACCCTCTGGACCTCGGCTCAAGGGATTCCTGCCTCCCATGACCCCTGCGGCTGCCCAGACTCTGGTTCAGCACGGACCGTGTCTCCACATGGCTTTGGGGGGAAGTGTGAGAGCAGTGAACGGGCAAAGTGCCCGCTCCCACAGAGAGCCTTTTCTCTGACAGTGGGATCGGCCCCACGGAGAAGGTGGAGGAGCTGCAGGAGACCCTGGGAGACACAGGCCCCACCTCCCGGGTGCTGGGTGCCTGTGCCCCTCGCAGGGCCAGGCTCAGCCCCCCGGGTGCGGGAGCACGCCTCACTCAGCTGGAGCGCCCAGCAGGGACCTGCACTGCACGTGTGAGAATGGACAGGTGGGTAGTGACTGGTGTCTCTAGGTCTTGGTGCACATAGGTGCAGAGCCACAGCTCTGGTCTGGGGACTCGAGGGAGCCGCTGGGACAGGGAGTCCCCAGCCAGTGAGCCCACTCGTCCCATGGGTCCGTGCAAACTGGCAGATGCAGCCTGGGGCCAGCTCTGGACAGACGGAGCCCTGACCCACTCCCGTGCCGGGGAGATGGTGAGTTCACACTGGGGGGAATGAAGAGGAGCCGAAGCGGGCGCGGTGCCCCAGGCCTTGTGAGAGGGACAGTGACCGAGGGCCGAGTGCAGCAAGGCTCGGGCTTGGGGGTTAGGGATGTGGAGCAGTGGGCTCCCCCAAAGCCCCCAGGAACCCTCAGGGCCCCTGGGGAGCATGTTCAGCCTCTGCCCGGGCCCCCGACCACACAGCAGGGCAGCCTCCAGGGGGCGCTGGGCTCTGCATTCACCTTCTGCCCCTGCTCCCAGGGACCCTGGTGACCACAGCGCCCCACGCACTCACCCGCCACCCAGGGGGGGCCGCAGCACAGGGCGGGGGGAGTTCACTCGGGGTTCTGCATCATCTTTCTATGCTTCTCATACACAGTGCGATTTTAATTTTCAACATTAAAATATCAGTTTTAGGAAAGGCAACATTAGAGTCCATTTTAGGGACAGTGGCCGGGTTGCCTGCTGCAGCCCTACAGTCGGGAACGGGTGGGCTCCACCCAGGAGAACAAGGTAGGTGTGTGTGGTGTGGCACGTGGCGGCCACGACCTGCCAGGGGGGCACACAGTGAGGGTTCCTGCACATGAGCGTGTGTGGGCTCACGTGTCTGAGACCGAGACTGGGCCCGGGGGGTTCCCCAGGGGCTCCAACTGCTCTGTGTCCCTGCTCCAGTCACTGTCCCTCTCACAAGGCCTGGGGCACCGCACCCCTGCTTCGGCTCCTCTTCATTCCCCACAGTGTGAACTCACCATCTCCCCGGCACGGGAGTGGGTCGGGGCTCCGCCTGTCCAGAGCTGGCCCCAGGCTGCTTCTGCCGGTTTGCACGGACCCATGGGACGAGTGGGCTCACTGGCTGGGGGCTCCCTGTCCCAGCGGCTCCCTCGAGTCCCCAGACCAGAGCTGTGGCTCTGTACCTGTGTGCACCAAGACCTGGAGACGCCAGTCACTACCCGCCTGTCCTAGGGGCTCGACTCCGGTGGACATGGCCACTCCATGGCCCTGGGAAGGGAACAGGAGGCCTGGAGGGATGTCTGCCCCCCCGGGTGCCGACCTGGCCCCACCTGGCCTGCACTGTTGCCTCCCCTGCCACTTACCCACAAAGAAGACAAGGACGAAGCTGGCCAGCGTCAGGGAAGACCCGCTGCTGACCATGCTGATCAGGAAGCGGAAGAAAGGGTAGAGCAGCAGCGAGGCCCAGAGCAGCCAGTTCAGCAGCGTCCAGGGTCGCCGAGGGGGCACCATGGGCGTCTCGGGGAAGGTGCCCGTCCTGTAGTACTGCTCCTGGAAGGCATCCTGGGGACAGAGAGGGGCTCTCAGAGCTCTCCTGAGATCCGCCCCCTGGCTCCTGCAGGCCCCGGCCGAAGCCCCACTGCTGAGAGGGCTGCCAATGGGCTTCTCGGAGCCAGGTGTCCGAGCACCCACAGAAGGTTCCTGTGGGCACGTAAGAGCCATCCCTTTCCCACGGTGACAGATGGAGGGGCGGGGCCCCTGTAGCCTCTCACTGAGTCCAGACCAGCCCACTTCTGCCGTTGCCTGCTGCTTACTGCCCTCCCTACCTGGGCAGGCTCCTGGGCAGGAGCGCCATCCACACAGGTTGGGAGGAGATGCTGCCCTGGCCCGTCCTGGGTGACGCTGCAGAGCAGGGTGGAGACCTGCGCCTTGGACAGGAGCCTGCAGCACCCACCCTATGGGTGGCCTCCCCAGATAGGATCATGGGCTCCAGGTGGTGAGGGGTGGGGGGAGAGGCACAGCAGGGAGGCCAGGCCTCCTTCCTCCCTCGGGGACAGGTGACTGCTGAGAGGGACCATCCAGCAGTCGTCGGGCTAATGGTCCCTGACGGCCGGACCGACACTGAATTTCAGAAGTAATGCTCATAAGTGTCTAAATGCCCCAGAGCACAGGCCCCAAGGGAGGCTGGGCGTGGTGGGTGGGAAGGAGCACCAGGGGGCCTGGCCAGTTTCTACAGGGGGCTCCAGGGTGGGCCCACCGGGGCAGGGCCAGGTCAGCCAGGGTCAAGGCCATCCCAGGGTGGGTCCCAGTCTCCGGAGGACAGGGCCAGGCAGCCCTCTCAGATCAGAGTCAGCAGGCCCTGGGGGGGGGGGGCGTTCTCCACTTCTTCCTGCCGAAGGCGTCAGAGCACCCTCGGCTGACAGTGTACCCCAGTGTACCCCCGCTGTGTCTGGAAAACCAGCTTCCACCTGCTTCGAGTGCTGAGATGGAAATGGCTGAAGCAGATCAATCATACTTTTTGTTTTCCCCCAATCAGGGTGTATGGAATAATACGCTTTTTAGGCCACTCAGAGTGATGATTTTTTAAACTGGTCCACAAAACAGGCCATTTTGGAAGAACCTCTGGCCTCCGCCACCTGCCCAGATCCGGAGCTGTCGGCGCCTTCCCAGCCCCGCCCCCAGCCCCTGGCTGCCACCTCCTCCGGAAGGGTGGGAGGGTGGCAGCTGTGGGAAGCATGGAGGTTCTAGGGAAAACCAGTAATTGAGCAACTGTTGGACACTGTGCTCGAGTGCCCAGTGCCCGCCCCCTCCCCCCCCCCCCAGGGAGGCAGAGCTGGGCACCTAAATGGAAGTCCTACAAGGAAGTGACAGTGATGTGGGGGGGTGAATGCCTGGGGTCACTGCTGGGGAAGCGCCTGCCTCCGCCAAGGCCTCCCGAGTCTCCCCCCTGCCTGGAAGGTGGCTGGTTTATCGGGACCCAGGCTGGGGCCACCAGGAGCCTGGTCACCAGTGAAGGTGATGTGGGAAGCTTTGGAAAACCTTTGCTCACCCAAAACCCCAGGCGCCCTGGGAGAGCGATAAGGCCGTCTGGGAAAAGCAAACAGCAGGATAGTCACAAGGACTGGGACTAGCACCCCCGCTGATAGAACTAATTTTCACATTTAGCCTTTGTACTCTGCTTCCGCCCCGTAGATAGACCTGATTACCGCATTCCGCTTCTGTATCCCGCTTCGCCACGTAGACAGGAAGACCCCTAGGCTATATAAACCCCAAGAATCCTTTGTTTGGGGCTCAGAATTTGGAGACTGACTCCTCTGGGCCTGTGCACGTTAATAAACCTCGTACTCCAGAATCCCTCCGTGTCTGGTTGCTTAGTTTTCCTATAACATGTGGTTTCCTGACCGGGAAGCGACCCTACACAAATTCGGGCGACTTGCTGCCGACTGGATAAGCGGGGAGGCAGCCAGAGGTCCAACTGGGGAAGCGGGGGTGCGCGTGCCCTGAGATTTCTCAGACCCCGTCCGGTTGGGGCAATGGCCGCCGGCCCGCACTCCAGGCGGGAAGCGAGGGTTTTGGACTACGACCTGACCCGAGACCAGAGGCGCTAAATTGGTAAGAGACCCGGGGACTTGACCCGAGACCAGAGAGAGGCTGATCACCTCAAATCAGAAATTTGGGTCAGATTCATGCTGAGTCTGACCACTTGACCCTCACTTGGGGAGGGATTGTTTAAACTTGGAGTGCTTGAGAGTGAAAGTGTGAGTGACTGTGTTTGTGGCTCCACGAGCTGGTCCTACGGAGCAAGAGTGGGCCCTAACCTGTGGTTCCTGTGTCAGGTCATACGGCATAACGGTTGGCAGCTAACCCCGAATTCTGCTGGGGCAACCTTAGCCAAGACCGACTTCGTCCCGCGAGGGAGCAGGCCAGGCGGGCGAGCGAGTGAAACCCCCTTCCCTTTGTTTGTCTGCGTCGTTCTGGGAGGATCACCATGGGCAGGGGACCTTCCACTGTGTTAGATTGCATGCTGCAAAACTGACTGATTCCGGGGCCAGGAACCGAGCATAGATGCCGGTCAGAGGTCTTTTGCACCTCTGAGTAGCCAACATTTGGAGTAGGCTGGCCCCCTGAAGGAACACTAAACTTAGGTATAATTAGGACAGTCCACCTCATAGTAACAGGCAAGCCAGGACACCCCAATCAGTGTGTCTATATAGACCACTGGCAGGAATTAGTGCAGGACATGCTGTCAGGGTGCAGGTCAGAAGCCTAAGACAGTGGGAAAGGCTGGCGGTAGGCGAAAAGTGGTGCAATCCAGTGTTTTAGTCGCCCAGTCAAGAGGAACACGCTGCCCCCCATTTTCAAAGGAGAGCCAGAGGAAGAGCTGCCTATCAGGCTGCCTCTCCTATATGCTCTGGAAACTCTCGGGCAGACCTGGGGAAGCAAAGACCCTCATCTGCCACCAAGATTCCGGCTCCTGCTGGTCTCTGGCGGCAGAGTAGAGACCCCAAAGGGGTCGGCCTCTAAAATATGCCCCAGTATAACAGAGCAGTGAGGCAGCAGGCAGTGACCCCCGCCCTCTGCTGGAGGAACAGGAGGTGGCTGAGGCCCACATGGCCCCCTGCACCTGGTCCTACTAAAGGGGTTGCCAGGGAGACAAGCAGGGCTGCCCCAGCCAAGCCCCGTGATTGAGCCAGGAGCGAGCTGTGAAGACCTCCTGGGCCTGTGCTGGCGGCCCTGGCAGTGGGTCCTTTAGTAAACCAGATACCTCCCGGGAGCAGGGAGCCACCAGATTGCCTAAGAAAAGAAACAGACTGGCACACTGGCGCATGGAACGAGACCAGTGCGCCTACTGCAGAGAGAAGGGGTACTAGAAAAGAGAGTGCCCCAAAAGGAAAGAAGAAAAGCCCACTGACGGGCGACAAAGACCAGGGTTACAGGCGCCTACAGTCCTCAGGTTAGCTGGCTTAGACCCAGACCAGACTGCCACAGGGCTTCAGAAACTCTCCCACTCCCCTTGGAGAGGCCCTGGCCAGAGATCTAAAATCATTTACCAAGAAGGAGACTGACCCAGTGTTATCGGTGTGTAGATAACCTCCTTTCAGCCACATCAGCCTGAGACTGGTGCTGAGAGGGCTCTTGCCAGCTGTTTAAACTGCTAATGAAGACAGGGTGTTGGGTGCCCATGAAGAAGGGGTGCAGGTCGGGGCAGGGTGGGCACACTGTGTGCTGACCCCAGAGCTCGGGAAAGGTGGAGCACATGGACCGGACCCTCGGGGAACCTCTGGCTGGGTTCCACTGGGAGGCTAGACTGCCTTGGAGTGATTTGCTGCCGCTGGCGCTGCTTAGGGTTGGGAGTGCCCCTAGCCCTTCGGGCTGTGCCTCATGTGAATTAGTCTTTAGGAGACCTCCTCCCATTCTCAGAATAGATAATGGGGGACCCCAGACAGCAGTAACTCGCGTAGTGACACTGCTTTCTAGAGAGGTGAGGCCCACTATGGCTTCTCCTGCCCTGCAAGTGGGAGAAGTCTCTACCATAGATTTGCAGCCTATGCAAGTAGGCTCTGCTCACCCACCGCAGCAGGGATTGCCGGGAGCTGCTTTGGCTCCTGAAAATGGAGCCGCAGGGCCCCCACCTTCAGAGGTGGGTGGGACCTCTGCCCCGCCTCCACTGGTGACTGCAGCCTCAGTAAATGACCCCAATGGGTGGAGGGTGGCTTTGTGGTGCCTCCACACCCACAGGTGGAAGGGGCCTTGGGGGCTTCCAGGGTTCCTGAAACTGGAGCCCTGGGACCTCCGCAGGTGGGCGGAACCAGAGTCGGGGTACTGCCATTGTAAGTAAAATAGATGAGCCACGTGAGTGCCCCAGCTGGAGGACAGAGCATGCACGGGCTTTGCCATCTTGGACCTGGATAAGGCTTCTCTTTAGATTATAGGCTGCATGCTACTGCTGTGTGGGCACTGCAGCAGTCAGGTTCTCTGTGTAACTAGTTGTAATAGTAATGGCTCTGGTTTTGAAAGTCATGAACTGAGGTCCAAGAGTGACCACCTGATTTATAGGATATTTACAATGTCTAAGCTTCAGAAAAGTGCAAAATGCGAATCTAGGGACTTTTAGCAGAAGATACCTAAAATGCTAGGGACTTTTAGCTGCCACATACTGAGTTTAAGCACTGAGTTTAAGTATAGTCTTTCCCAGTCTGGGAAAGGAACCAAGATTAAAAGAGAATGATGATTAAATCTAGATGAGTAGAAATATATATAAAAGATATGAAAGTTTTAAACCTAGAGTAAAGGAAACCTCAACTATTTGTTTTCTGGTTTTGTGGAAAAAGAGCGAATTTCTCTGCCACTGGTTATTTCTGATCGGAAACCCTGTATACCTGAAGACCTAGAAAAGGTCACTGTAGCCGGTTGGAGAGGATGCCTTTGTCACCCGGGACCCAGGAAGGGTCATTTGGGGCTGATAAGTATTTCAGCCTGAGGCAAAGCAGCATGTCTCTGCCATGAGACCGGGCCTGAAGGAGCACGTCTCTGTAAGGCACCAGTGGATGCATTGGTGCAAG